TGAATGGGTCTGCCAAAGTCCAGCACTCATTCATCAAGTTACACTCAACATGACCCAAAGCTCCCCGGGCCTCATTTCGGATGAAATGTAGGGGTCGAACTATGAAACTACAGACTATAACCACTAAAGTGACAGCATGTTGCGCTACATCCAGCTCGACACAATCCTCTTTTCACAGCACTGAGGTCCAGGTAATTAAAAACGTCTTTGTCGGGGGCAAATTTGTAGAGATTAATCTGTCATGCCTGTAAATAACAGCAATTCACTGGAGAGCTCAACCTAACACGGTGCCAATATCTCTTCGATGAATACACACAAGCTTTAAACGATGGTGGGTGGGGTTTGTTCTGCTCACACAGGAGAGTCTATGTTTCAGCATGCTGGTAAAGTACATACAACTAGGCTGTTTATACACCGTGGCGCCTCGCTGGAGGGGCAGTACTCCTCTCTTTCAGTGAATGGAAAGGCACCAGATACCTCCCCCTTCGAGTAAATAGATCTTATCAATGAAAATAGTCAAGCCTCCTCCCCATTGCCTTTTTATGAATGGAAATACCTGTCAAAATCTAGCCGCATTGATTCTTTACAGCACATGAGGGACACGGGAACTGGAAATAGTGCTGTCACTGTAAAAGCAAAACTAGAATCTACTCAATAAAATTGAGGTAACAATTTCCAGTCTGTAGGTTTATTACACAATTACTAACAAAATGAGAGAGTTATTAAATGTTAGCTTTTCTGTGGCTAACAAACATTTGCAATGGACAAATAAGTTGTTTGTCACTACTAACATTATTATAGCTATATTGGGTATAGCAATAATATAATACAGCAGTAACACTATAAACTTACACACAACCTAAGCACAAGCTCTCCTCCTCAACACAATGGCAACTGCAAAACACCAATATAACAGAAACTCTTTTAAATGTCATAGCCTAACTGAACATTAACAAACAGGTCTTATTCAAACACACATCAAATAAAATTTAATTTTGACGTTTAATCTCCTGATCCAGCCCTATGCAAAGCATGCTGGGAACTAAAAATCTGTTTACTTTCCGTTTATGCTACAAAAATTATTTAGTAGCCTAGTCTCAACTCAAAAATTTAAGTAAACTTCCGTTTTTACATAAGAAAATATTTTTTTTAAGTGTGACTGCAACTATGAACATTTAACTAACTGTTGTTTGTTCGTTATTCATTATTAGAGTTGATTTATTATCTATGTTGTATAGCAAAGACAAAGGTTTATTGACAATAAGCCACAATGACAGTGAGAATCTGTTATAATGCTAACAATTCATCCTTGATGCTTGATTTACAGATGGCGAATGGTTCTGTCAGCAATATGAGCAATAAAACTGATTAGATTTTGGAGAAGTTTACATTACTACATAACATGCATTTCAAAGAAGATATATTAGCCATGTATATTGGCCCAATATCCATCTTGTCCCAAAAGTGATAAAGAAAAGGTAAAGACAAGTGTGTAAAGTACGCCATCTAGAGGACAAGGTCTGAACATGTATGCTTTTTTTTTTGATGATATATAAAGCATAAAGTTCAGTGCCCTTAACACACACTAAATTCTCACACTCTCTCTAATACCACTTTGTAGCGGTATTTGAGTAAAAGCAAAGGCCTATCCCATCATTCATCATGTTTAGGATCGTGTGCCCAGAATCGGAAGAATTCGAGGGAAACTTTTTTCAGTGCAAGTTAAATTAAGAAGTGTTTTGTAAAAAGTTGCAACTGATTTTTATCACTTAATTAGAAGCATCACAATGACAAAATTGTGTCATCTTTTACACAGGGACCACAGAACAGACATTTAGCTTCCCACCTGAAGTCCAAGGCCCTGTCCTAAATTGTTCCACACTTCGTGTCACGTTTCTGCTCATCTTGATTTCTCACCACTTGTAAGCTTTTCTGGGCGAGATGGAGTGAACTGCGGCGCTGACAGATTCACATGAACGAGCACATCGCGTAGCCGTAAACTGAAGGGGATTTTTGGCGAGCTGTACTTGCTGCAGTTCGTAAATTTTGGCGCTCTGGTGGTTAATAAACACAACTGTATGCGTCTTGCGGAAGAACACTGTAGCCGGAACTACTTCTCTCTGGGACGAGTCACGCAGGTACTGGGCTACTCCGCAGTGGTACGACCCGAACCAGTCTAAAATAGTCTGAATATAAACACTTATTATATGTGTACCGAAGTGATTCAAGATATGACAAAAACACGGTTTGGAAAACAGATTCATGAAGGTGTCCCGTTTGTCATTTTATGTTTCAGAAGGGTGCTTGCAAGCGTATGCGCCCGTGATGTGCACGTTCGCCGTGCCCGCACTGAAGCAGCCGATTGGAGGAAGAATGCAAGGGTTTTAGATTCCATTTGGGACAGGGCCCAACTCGACTCTCTAGAAAAGTAAAATTACATTATGGGGGGGGGGGGGGGGAGAGAACCCGGGTCATTCACAAGTTAGAACCTAACGCACATAAAACCATTTACACTGAAATGTCTAGAATTCCATATTCAGCGATTTGGCCATCATAACAGAGGCCATATAGACAGTGTTGGGGGTAAAGCATTACAAGTAACTTGAGTTACGTCAGGTTACTTTTTTCAAGTAACTGAAATGAGTTTCAGTCTTCTGTTGAGCACAAAATATATTTTAAAGAATGTTGGTAACCAGACAAAAAAAAAAAAAAAAAAAAAAAATTCATACAGGTTTGGAACAACTTGAGGGGGAGTAAATGATGACAGAATTTTAATTTTTGGGTGAACTATCCTCTTAACCAATGTCTTTGCTGCTGACCTTCAATGATCCAATTCAACCACAAGCAAAAATAACTTTAGTTAACCATAACATTTGTTTCCCATTCTTCTTCAATCCATAATGACAGCACAGAGGTTTTTTTGAGCGGCGCCCTCTACTGTACAGGCCTGAATTTTCATTTCCTTCAGCCTGAGGCTTTTTCATTTCACTTTTGGTGTGAAAGGGCCTCACGTTAGGGAGTAACTCAATATTGTAATGCATTACTTTTAAAAGTAACTTTCCTCAACACTGCATATAGACGTCTTAACGGTGCAGTAGCAAAAACAGAATCTGATTCTTCAGCGTCTCTGAGAGCATTGGGAACATTGCTTACGGCAGCTTTAATTCGAAAGGTCAAAGAATTATGGAAGCTTGTTTCTGCCACGAAATAAAACTATTTAAAAGAGAATTGCTTTTTATCTCCCAATTCTAACTTTATAACTCACAATTGCGAGTTTATATCATATATTCTAAAAAAAAAAAAAAAAAACCAAGTCAGAATTGCGAGATAAAAAGCAATTACCTTTTTTTTTGTATTCTATGGTAGAATACAAAAGGTAATTGCTTTTTATCTCGCAATTCTGACTTGGTTTTTTTTTTCAGGAATGTTCATAAAAACATGTCTGAAATACAGGAGTTCTCAAAACATTTTACTGGATGAAAAGTAACATACATTTTTTTAGGCTCACAATGTCTGTTGAAAAGAAAATTGACCAATAAAAGCAAAATGACAACAAATACATATATGCTACCAAGTTTGAAGGCCCTATTCGTTCACATAATTGCTGTTGTGCTGCGTAGAAGCCTTCGAGATTGCAGAAACATTCGCACTGTCTATACTCACTCGCAGTAGTTCTTCTGCTGACTGCTATCGTGTTCAATAAGGGATTATGATCTGATACGGATCTACGGATACAGAGTCTGTATGAGTTCCCAAGCCCATCAAACATACATCTAACATACCACGCTTAGAGTAAAAACTATAGGCTCTTTCAGTTTGAGAAAACAATGGTCTCTCACATTCGGTTCTTTAGTGACAAAGTAGCGTTTCAACCTTTCACAATAACATCATATACAGTCCCCCGAATAAACAGACTCTAAAACTGAAGCATTTGTTTTAATACGGAGGTGCTAAACACTAATTGAACTATTGCTGATTTGACGTCTTAGCATTGGCGTCAGTCTCTTATGCCAAGGACAATCTGCAATGTAATGTGCATTGCAAAAATAAACAATGCAAGCCATACATTACACATACGCTCAACAGTCATCGGAAACTTGTTACATTTCTGTTTCCCTACTTGAAATTCGAGAGCGTTTTCACATTATACCCTAACAGAGGCTTTCAATCTTACAAGCACGTTTGAAACTAATCGATTTCTTACTAGTTTGACTTTGAAAAAAAAGAGTAACTCACCAGAATACACTGCAAAGAATCTACGTCGTGACAACGTCAAGATGAACTTATGTGTTTGTGCCTAAATGGAAACTAAAATAAAAATCACCCTTATGGAGTGGGACTAATTTTGTATGATTGGACAATTTTAATCACTAGCACAAATTCAGTTTGGATGTGAGAACTGAAGCTTTAGCTTAAATCTCGAAGCATATGAAATTACAACATACTTCCTACTTAAAGATTCACGTTTACATGGAAATGGAAAGGAGCCATGAGAAATGAAAGACAACTACTGCCCAGCAGACTAAAAATTGCTTAAAAATACATAGATTTCTTCAAAATTGATGTAGAAAATCAGAACTTAAGAAATAAAGCACTCTAAGCCCCCAAGAAAAGCGAACTTTCAAAATGTTGCAAACTATCAAATCCAACGGCTTTGAACTCCACAGACATTCATTTAACACAAAACCTGGAGCTTGAGCGTTTTAAGATAAAAAGCAACAAATAAGAGTATCGATCGTATAGACAAAACATCTCCCGAAACCACCTTCAGGACCTGCATATGTATGGGGAGAACATGGAAATTAATTTCTGTAAACCAAACAAATACATAACACTAATAAACATACTCCTCTAACACTCGGGGGAAAAAAGAAGGGAAAAAAAGCAGCACTCTTAAGTTTCACCTCCGTTGCTTTTGGTTATGGATGGGGGGGGGGGCTGTGGAAGTTTATTGTGGTCCCTTTAACTGTGTGTGAGAGTGACAGACGGAATCAATGGTCGGGAAGAGATGTATTGTGGTGAATAGCTGGCATTAGGAGATGCACAGTGCAGACACACATTGACCTGTGCCTAAACAGAGGAAGCTTGTCACAAATGAGAAGAGGACAGCCAACGTCGAGGGCATCTTCTCACTCATAGCCTTCAGTGAAGCTGTTCCAGTCCCCCCCGGCCTCCACACCCTCCTGGCTGGGCGGATACTGGAAATCGGGCTGGTAGTTGTCGGGTGGGCAGGCGAATGCATTTGGCCCTTTCTTGAGTCTGTTGCTGTGGGAATGGGGATACGTTAATTGTTGACCAATCAGAAAATCTTTTCACGAAATCAGCATGAGATACTCACTGGTTCTTGTGTTTGGAGCCGCTGATGTGGGCCTGGTACTGCTCCACGGAGTTCAGCTCAATATTACACACAGTACATGGGTAGCCCTTCAGTGAGGAGGCTGAGAGAAATGATATTCAACATTTTAGTGATATGTAATGCTGTAACAAAAACACAACAACAAAGAGTCATTGACAAATTTCAACTTTGAATAGAATTCGATTTAATATCGATTCATTTGGATATATATCGGATGCAGTACGTCAATTTTTTCTCAAGGAAAAACAAACTGATTTGTATACAAATTTACTAACATTTAAAGCTGCTGTCCGTAACTTTTTTAAGTTAAAAATAATCCAAAATAATTATATTAAAAAAAACATTCTGCCAGTGGTCAAAACTATCTGCTTGCCATAGCTAGATTCAAAACGGTTAGCTTGTAATAATGATTTTAATTCCAGTGGTACTGGTGGGTTTCCGCGGGAAATTCGAGCATGTCTTTGCGTCATGACGTCACACCCGTACACATAAAGAAGGAGTTTCGGCTAGCCGGCTATACTGCGCGTGACGAGATGTTTAGATGTATAGGCTTTTCTCGCAGCACTTTACATAATTAAACTTATTTTATTTCATCCAGAAAGATCCAAACAACAATCATCAGTGTCAACTGGAGATTCAGCAGTTATAAAACCCAAAAGACTTCGTACTTCGGATTTAAGGTGGCTAGAGAAAGAGAAAGAAACCGTCTCATGCGAACACAAGGATTTAAACATCGGCGGGGCTTTTGAAAAGTGCGTGAACTCCGTGTTTTGAAGGGGTTCGAAACGGAAGAAGAGACGGCCTTTTTCTGCTGAACAAGTAAGACATTTCAACAGTTCAATCTTGTAACAGTACGTTTTCTTAATTCACACAGTTATGGAGTTTCCTTTGTTGTGCCTTTCTCGTTTTGCTATTATGGAGAATATGAATTCTGAACTACACAGGTAACCATAAAACACATTAAATTTAACATTAGTCACGCAATGCTGATGTGATGTTGTTAACATGAACAATTTGAGAACAAAGTAGGCTATAATTTGCACGGTTGCTGTAAATCGCGTTGATTAAATCTAACGAAGCTTATGTCGAATGCTTTTTCCCCCTTAGTTGGTCAGAACAAAAATGGATTTTACTTACTTGTTCAGAAGACATTTTCTTATGAAAATTCTTATGTTGGTCAAACTTTCAAAAAGTGAATCTGTGATTCTGTATGACAGTATCCACACAGCGCGGTGACTGACAGCAGCACTCGCCTCAAAGCACTGTGTTCATCCGCGCTGTTTCATGCCGATTTACAACCCACGTAAAGGTAATAATTCCGCGAATCACTGCAGTTACAGATTTCGAACAGAGAGATGGCGACAAAGAGGAAAAGCTACGGACTAACTTTTTAATAGGGATGCACCCATATGAAAATTTGGCCGATTCCGATAACTCTTTATATTTGAAAGCCGATTACCGATATACAAAATAATAAATTATACTCTCTCTGATTACAAAAACAAGTCTCACCATTAAAAGCCATGCCTTAAACACACAATTATAATGTTCTCATTATAATGTTATATAGCCTATATGACAGACTTGCACTTAACTCCTTTTTTGAAGTTATTCCAATCATATTTCAAGTAATTCAAAACCATCATGGCGAATAGTGCGCATCTGAAGCGTCTCAGCTGAAGGAAATAATACATCCTTTATCCTTATACAAATAAACGATCCTTGAGCTCGCACATCCCTATTTATTACATATTTAGAGACTTGTTTATATGATATACATTTGTGTTTGCTGAGAAATACTATAGTTTTGCTGTCCTATTACTAATAATAGAAAAGCAAAAAAGCAAACTTTATATGCTTTTTCATAAACTGTTTAATCTTTGTAAACAGAGAAAACTATTTTTTTTATTCTATTTATTAGACTGAACTGTTAAACAGTGACGGTAAACTAATATAGACGGAGAATGGAACTGCCGTTTTCAGCGTCATCAAAATAAAAATAAAAATCAGGCCCATCTTCAAAATGAAAGTGCCACTTCTGACACAATTGGCCAAAGAGAAACTTATCGTATAATCCCCATACCTGCCGATATATCAGTTGACCACTACTTGCAATAACCATGTATGAAAGAATATCAAATTCAAAATATATATTCAACTCACTGTTTATTATGTTAAACAGAATTTGATGTGCATGCAAATGTATTCAATAATATTCCTTTTGTTTTGTGCAACCCATTCAGTTATGGCATTTGCAATATGGCAGCAAATATTTAGAAGTAAAAATAATGTAGACTAATAGGACTTTAATTGTAAAATAAAGGTTAAAAGGAACATTCCAGGTTAAATACGACTAGAGATGCAGTCGCTTACCACTGAAAGTAATTTTGACTTCTAAAAACAAACAACTTTTTTTTTTTAAATATACTTTTTTTTAAACTTTCTTCATATTTATATATGAATTATTAATAAAAAAATAAAAATAAATCTATAAAGCCACCAAAATGAATGCTATTTTTCTGACTGGATGAAATTCTGAGATGTAATTCCTTACATGAGAGATGCAAGTGTTACTGATGTAATTCCTGTTTGATGTCATGAAGGCTGTGAGACCCCCCTTCTATGTTCTGACCTGGTACAATGGACGGCCCATAGGTCTCCATCAGCTTCTGTTTAGTCAGGTGTTTTTTATGTTTCTTGCCATTGTAGTGCTGCTGGGCCATGAGGGGGTTGTTGAAGGAGGCCTGGCAGATGGAGCAGAAGCGGTTGGGGTCACGCTCTGCCGGCCCCTGCACACCTTTAGGTAGCCCTTCATCCTTCTTCACCTGTGCTTTGGGCTGAGGTAATGCTGGAAGATGAGGGAAAACACAGCAGGTCAGCCTTTTAGGAGAAATGACCAGTTCTAACCATGTTCGGAATATAATATTAGCGCGCCGTGTCATATATATACTGAATATATTATTTTATTTAGTAGTCTGTTCAGAATGATGGGAGAACCACGATCTCCATTTGAAACTTCTCAGTTTATCCAAAATCATGCAGCTCTACAATGGCGTGTAGTCATACTCCATTTCATGGTTTCATTACTGGATGAACTAGTGTTTTTGAACAAATCTCTGGAATGAAATATTCAATGACAAATAAATTAGAATATCGTGCAAAAGTTAATTTGTTTCAGTAATTCAACTTAATAGGTGAAACTAATAATTATATAGACTCATTACATGCAAAGTGAGATATTTCAAGCCTGCCTTTGTTATAATTTTGATGATTATGGCTTACAGCTTATGAAAACCCCAAAGTCAAAATTAGAATATTGTGAAAAGTTTTTCATAGCTGTAAGCCCATAATCATCAAAATTATAACCAATAAAGGCTTGAAATATCTCACTTTGCATGTAATGAGTCTATATAATATATTAGTTTCACCTTTTAAGTTGAATTACTGAAACAAATTAACTTTTGCACGATATTCTAAATTTTCGAGTTTCACCTGCATATTTTTTAACAGTAACTTGCAGCCCCCCAGTGGCGTAACAATGCAAACTATACAATCGTCATTTGAAGCGCCGAGTTACTTTCTGAAGGGGATTTGACCTATATCCATCACTAACATAGACATCAGTGTTTATATCCAAACTATAAACTTTTATCCCAACACTTCTGTGATCATTTTAATTAGAATCTGTTATATACTTATAAATCCAACTGCTCTCTCTGGTTTGAATGTTCCATCATGATTTTGTCAAAGGTTTAATAGACATAGCCGAATGGTTGTCATTTAGGTATTAGATCGCGTGGGTTATGAATGAGATCACAATCTTTTAACGATTAATCGTGAAGCTCTACTACATTGTATGTTTTAAGTCAACATGAAACGGAAGTCTTTTCTTTTCTTATTGTGACGTATATAAGAGTGAAACGAAAAAATGTAGAGTTTGTCCATAGGGAATTGATTGAATTGTTGTGGTTTGCTATTGGTCGATCTCATGTGAGTGACAGGTTGTCCCGCCCTCGTGTCAGTAAATGCGTCATCGGAAAAGAGAAGCAATGTTGTTGCAAGAGGGAGGGGAAGATATTTTGAAAAATGTTAGGTTTTATGCATTACAAAAATACCCCGTGCAAAAGAACTGATCGCAGAGCAAGACCATCCACTATAAAAAAAACACTAAATTTAATGATAATCAAGTCTTCTTACCAGGAGTCTGCTGACCGTAGGTCTTCAAGTGAAGGTTCTTGGAGTGAACTTTGCCCTGGTAATGTGACTGTGCCACCACCGGGGAAGAGAAGGCCATGTTGCACACATCGCAGGCTTTGTATTTGTCCCCTTCATCGACATTACTTGTCTGCAAAACAGAACACTGCCCATTAATACAGGACACAAACATATCCGTGATCTAATATTCAATAAGACTCCATGACATCTGGTTGCTCATCTGTCTTACAGCATCTTCTGAAGTCTTGAACCGTTTTGCAATAGGCTCCTCATCACCGTGAATGCTCATGTACCGGCGTACTTTGCTCGCATGTTTTTTGCTCTACAAGAAGAGACAGGAAGGTTAACATTGAGAAGGTCCTAATTTGTCCTTTAGCTGATGTGATTTTGTCATGGGACAGGAACTTTAACCACTAAGCTAAACCATCCTCAAGTACTATTCATAGTTTAGTATGTGAAACAGTGTGTAGTTTATCCACATTTGGGGAAAAAATGTCAAGAACTTTGACAGTCAGATCAAATGACCAGATGATTTTCATGGGTTATGCTGGAAAGTCATGTTAAGCATATTGCATTGTGGGATACAGTCTTTTTCACTTGACCCCTTGTCTACTTACATGCCATATTTTCTGTATTTGGCCCAAGAGCTGGGCATGAAGACCGCAAGTGTGTAGAACTTAGATTACCCGATGGGACACACGTACAACATACTTTTGTAAAAATACAAGTAAAGTCAAAATTGTGCGTGTGCGTGGACGTTGGTGGACCCTCCTGATGATGAAAATTATAACGCGGACATCCAAAGTATACTTTGGGCTTTAGACTCAAATACTGCTCTGAAGCGGATTTAAATGTGAAATCTGAAGTTTAAATATGGGCACTAAACTTTGGCATTTTTCCAACCTGGGACAGCCTTGCGCACTTGCTTCTTGTCATGCGCACTCAAGTGGCCAAGCCCACAAGTGTGGGTATTGGGACAGGTTCTTTGTACACAAAAGTACCTTTTAAAGCAAGCCAGCTGACTCGGCGGCCATCTTGGGAAATATTTAGGGTGTGTTCACACTTCGTAGTAGTTCGGTTTTGCTTGGTTTGTTTGGCCTGGACCAAAAAAAAAACATTTAGTCCTGGTCCGCTTAGCGTTCACATTGGTATTTTTTAACACCAAACCTAAAGATACTGAACCTAAAGGCATAGGGATATGTTCACAACCTGATTGGTTGGCTTTGATGACATAGCCTATATTTCGCCACGGAACTTACCGAACATCCAAAACAATGCTGTGTGCTGGGATAAATGCGCTCGTTGTATGTGCGTAGCTCCATATAATGGTATTTTGACCAGCTGAGAACTCGTGAAGAGTTAATAAAAAATGAGTCAAAACAGCGGCAGGAATCCCTGGATTCTGGATGGCAGCGTTCACACTTATTCAAATGAACCATGAGCAATAGCACCAGGTTTCGTTATAATCGAACCAAACATGCCAAGTGTGAACACACCCTTAATTTTAACTAAACATTTGAATAATATATTTCAAATCAGCTCTGTATATTTCGGTATCATACTCTGTTTAACACTTGGAACTTTCTTTAATTTAGAAGCACCATAATGGGTGTACAAATTTCTCCTTTTAAATATCATTTAAGTGTCCTGCCTCTACTATACAAGCTGTCTCTGATAGCACTCAGCAAAGTGTGCTGTTATATACTGCAGAGTTAGTCAAATTCAGTTAGTCATCCGAGTATTACATGCATACAAAAACATATAAAGTATACATACTGCAGAAATAGTACGAGTAGTATGCTAGTATGTCATTGTGAACACAGCCTGAAATACTTGCAATCAATATTTTGCCCTTAAAACCACGTTTTGTACTTTATTGGCTGACGAACAAAGGACGTGTTGCGATCATATAAACTTTGTCTATGTGAATGTGAAAGCTTACCTGATAATGTGCAAGTTTCTGGGATTCTGAGATTAAGACAGCGCTACACACTTTACACTGAGAATCAGAGAACAAGTCACTGTTCTCCTTTATCATTCGGTTCACTGAAAGACAGGTCAGCATCAGAAACAGTCACTACAAAGGGGCATTTCATTGTTGTATAAAATAAACATACAAAACAGCTACAAGGCCAAGTATGCAGACCTAAAATAGACTTTCTATGCATTTAATTGCAAGTATCAGACTATGTCTTACATCGACCTTGTGTACACTGTTCTGCCTATACACACTAAAGCAGCAGTCCTGAGAGCTTGAGCTAGGCTACCATGCTTTACACTCTTTCCCACTCTCAGGCACTGTACATTCTCGGTATAAATGTCATGTTTTCCTTATAAATAATGCATCGAAAGTAACACCATTTATTCTGATTGAGTGTCGCCGATCTCTTACCCTCGGCCGCCCCTGAAGGTAAATATGGAAAATCTCCATTCGGCTCTTGCTGCGCCATGATGGTTGCAGGAGGCGGGTTGCGCATGCGCAGACGAGACATGCGCCGCACAAGTCTCTTCATACCGAAATATCGAAATGCTGTAACCCATTTTTATTCTATTTACAAACAAATATGTGCACCAATTGTCCTACATGCGTCACAAAATTATTTATATGCACCAAGCAATGCGCTTGACACAAGGATATAGGAGAATCTAGACGAGGTAAACCCGTTGCTATTTGGAGTGTAATTGTGTTTATTTACTAAAAGAATTGTTACTTTCAAACTTGGCAAGTAAATTTGGCATTCTTTTTAAGTTACGGCGAATCGTCCAACTAGCTGTTTACCATCTTACAATTTGAAGTAACGCAAAATAAACTCTTAATTCCCCCCTAAGACCATAGATTTGACACAAATATGTAATTATTATCACCTCAAATGTTGTACTGACGTGTGCTGGTTTGGGAATAAATTGTTTTGAGTCCAATTAGTAAATTCAGGAAGTGGTGTGATTCTGAATGATCCAATTATCGAGCTAACTGAAGCACAATTTTGTTGTAGGTGAAAATTAAAGGATATTTATATTTCTTTTTCTAAATGAATGTTTTATTAGCTGAATTTTGGCTTCAGCAAACTAAATTGGGGCATATGAAATTATAAACAGCATTGTAAATTAATTTGGAGCATTAATATACCACGCTGATAACAATCTATCAACAGTTTAACATGTATATTATGGATCTGTTTTGTTATTAGAAAAAAAATGTATATTCATTGGAGAAGTAAGTGAAGTGACTTGGTTCATTTGTAAACAGCCCTTAAAACTTATTTTGAGTCTATAAAAAATTCCCTAAAAAAAAGTGGTAAATTAATTTATTTTTGTGATGTCCTTTAATTTCATTATTTGTATCTATTTTATTATTGCATTTGCGTTTTTTGGTAAATGTCTATGGATTTTTTTTGTACATTTAAAATTCAGCGTCATGCGGCGACGTAATGACGTAAAAGAATCATTGAACCGGTTCTTTGAAACAAACCGATTCATGAAAATGATTCGATCCAGCTCGCGCGCTGTCGACTATGATGACGTAACGTCTCTCTTGTCGACTCTTGTTTCGTCGCTTGTGAAAATTTTCTGGAATCGAAATCCTTGTTTTTTCGAGCCGTTGACTGGCCGAACTAACATTGTATTACCTGGTATGAACATTGAACGCGTTCAGTAGAAGTTTCTGAGCAGTTAGCTGAGGTAGCGTCTCAGAGAGCGTGTCTAAAGGTGTGTAAGTTAGAGAGAGGGAAAATTAATGTTATTGAGGTCGCAGGATGCCTCGCCGGAAGCGCACGCCGGATGAAAGCGGAAGAAGAGCTAAAGTCAGCAGAGTGGAGCACAATGAGGAGACCCTGGTCATATCTGATTCTGAACAAGAGGTACTGTGTTTGCAGTGTCTGTGTGTTCGTGCCTGTGTGTTCGTGGTCGTTTAAAGGTTTGAGAGTTGGCTAAGTGGGAAAAACAACAACTTCTCTTTAAGAAATACCATGGTAACAATTGTTTCTGCTAAACATAGTTAGTACCACATATTTAGTATGGCTGTGTTGTGCTCATTTCAGTGCCAGTAACGTCACCAAATGGAATTTGAAATTTTTTTTGATGTTTTCCAAACATTCTAGATTCCAGTGGCGTAGGTTTGATTTTGAAATTGGTGGGGACGGGGACATCAATATTTAATATATTTAAAGTTTTGATCGAAAATATTGCTAGGAATATATCAGTGTCACTGGATATTGGTAGGGACACGTCCCTAGCGTCCCTACTAAATTCTACGCCCCTGCTAGATTCAATGCACAACATAAAAAAAATAAAGAAAAGAAATCATGTGCCCTTGTAATCTTTAATCAAAATAGCTTCCCCTCCCTCTTGCAACAACTTCCCTGATGATGTGAGGGCAGGACAACCTGTCACTCACATGAGATTGACCAATAGCAAACCACAACTATCCAATCAATTCCCCATGGACAAAATCAAGTCCCGCCCTACATTTCTTCTTGCTCCAGAAGCCGTTTCACACGGATATACGTCACAATAGTGAAGAAAAGACTATTGCAACTTCTGTTTCATGTGACTTTTATAACTATGGCATTTCCATACATAACTGGCCTTTTATTTATAATTTTAAATAAAAGGAATAAAATGACAATAAACTGACTTTAGATTTGACCTTTTTATCCTTAGGAGGACGATAGACCCCTTAAACTGTCCTCTCGGACATCCCGCAGGAGACGAAGAGAGAACGAGTCCCAACTACAAGGTACCACAACTCATTTTCTTAACAAATCATAAATTGTGCCTGAAATATTAGGCGTACATCTCATTCAGACCCTTCTATGCCTCAATTCTCTGAAATTTCAGAGATGACGGAAGAAGAGATGTTGCTCTTGGCCATGAGACTGAGCGCTCAGGAAGCGAACAGTGCTGCAGAGAGACGACAGCTGGAAGACAGCGACATACAGAAAGCCATAGAAGAAAGTCTTCATGTTGGGGAAACACTTTTTCTCCTAAAGGCTGGAATCCACTACACGACTTTTAAAAATGGGAACAGATTTTAAAGGGGACATATCATGAAAATCTGACTTTTTCTGCGTTTAAGTGCTATAAGGGGGTCCCCGCCGCCATTTGGTTTTCGCAAGCGATAACAGTGTAACCAGTTCTAATGCAAAGTTCGAGCAAAGCATGCAAACTGTTCTGTCGTTGCTGCACAGACAAGCACTGAACACTATTTGATCAAACAATGTGCGCTTGCTTATAAAGACCTCAGGGAACTGTGTCAACTTGTGTAAAAGTTAAACATGACAGTACATGCAAGTGGTTGAGATTAATCAATGTTACTCCTCAACAACTACATAAATGTATCCACTAACCATTCAGAAACATCCAGGTGCGTCTAAAAGTTGCTTCCTGAGTCTCTCTGTAATGCTGCACTCCGCTACTGGTTATTTCTGGGATTTTGGATGAATGGGATTCGCGTGTTTTGTTATTGCCGGAGTATCCGAAGCTCGCGTAAAGGATTGTCCGTCTTCTGAACGGGGGCGGGGAGCAGAAGCTCATTTGCATTTAAAGGGACACACACAAATCGGCGCGTTTTTGCTCATACCCAAAAAGGGGCAAATTTGACAAGCTATAATAAATAGGTATTTTGGGCTGAAATTTCACAGACACATTCTGGGGACGCCATAGGTTTATATTACATCTTGTGAAAAGGGGCATAATATGTCACCTTTAAAATACTAGGCTTCATACACTTGCTGACTTTCTAAATGGTTACAAAGAAAAACTGGCACGACTGAGGATCGCACACTACCAGACTTTCAAGTCATTCCAAAAACAACAAACATGCACCTCTGCTAGGAGATGCATGACGCATGAAAACAATACGTGTTCTAAAATCGACTCAAAATATCAAATATGTTTGATCTCCTCCGACTGGATAGAATCAAAGTCTGAAGCTAAAAAGTCGGAGTCTGTGCCTATCATACACTATGTGTTCTCTGTGAAATCTGCCATCTCAGAGACTCCGACTGACCAAAATCTGTGCAAATGTGTAGTGGATTCCAGCCTTAAGTCACACAAGTCACAAGTCTCATACCAAAAGAGCAGAATGGCATTAATCAAAAATGCTGCATGTGTTTCTGCAGGAGAGCGCTGCAAAAGACTCACAGGGTCAGGATGAAGCAGCCAGCTCTTCGGGTCAACCACAGCAGAATGTAGCAAACACAGTATTGCACTTGAGACGAAAGCTGTCTTACCCCAGACAAGATCAGAGACGCAGCGAGAATGAGAGGGAAAAGACTAGTCCGCTGCTAGAAATGCCTGATCTGTCACAGATGACCTCCTCGCATCTGTCATCGAGGAGTTTAACTCAGGTCTCCAAGACTTCTGCTACCTCTCAGGTTAGTTTTTATGAAATGGCTTCACATTATTAATAACCCTTTAACCCTATAAAGCCTACTGTATCATATTTGATAAACAAATTTCCGAGGCCTCTAAATTGTCCAAATGATCTTAGCTTCTTTCATCTGATTGATAGTTTATACTGTTTTAGCAAGTAAAAGGCAGGTATGCGTCTCCCTTCAGGTGGTGGTACACGTTTTTTGCTGTATATGATACACAACAAAAAAAGGTTTAAAGGTTCATTTAAAAATACAGTTCTTGGACTTTTATTTCATATATAGTTATAGGGTTAAAGGGATAGTTCACGCAAAAATGTGTATTCTGTCATTATTACTCACCCTCATGTCGTTCCAAACCCGTAAGACCTTGAATGAAGATATTTTTGATGAAATCTGAGAGGTTTCTGATCCCTCCGTAGGCAGCAACTGTCAAGACCAAGAAAAGTAGTAAAGACATTGTTAAAATAGTCCATGTGACTACAGTGGTTCAACCTTAATGTTATGAAGCGACGAGAATACCTTTTGTGCGAAAACCTCTTCTCTTCCACGTCATTCTCCTACGCTGTTGGAACATCAGCTCAATATTGGCTATACTTGCTCCTGCGTCGGCAGCACACGCATGTGTCGTGGTGCTCACGTGACCAGCGTCGGCCAATAGTGAGGCGGCGTTCTTGCGTAGAACCTGGAAGCGCTGCACTGTTTACATTACGTGAATAGCGTAGTAGGAGATCTGACACAGAGGAGAAGAAATTGTTTAATAAAGTAGTTTTTGTTTTTTTGCACACAAAAGTATTCTTGTCACTTCATAACATACAAATTTGTAACCACTGTCGTCACATGGACTATTTTTAACCATGCCTTTACCTTTCTGGGCCTTGAAAGTTGCAATGACGTTGCTGCCAATGGTTGGTTCAGAAACCTCTCGGATTTCATCAAAAAAAGCTTCATTTGTGTTCCGAAGATGAACAAATGTCTTACGGGTTTGGAACGACATGAGGGTGAGTAATTTATGACGAATTTTAATTTTTGGGTGAACTATCCCTTTAATTATTAACCTTCCCCTTTGTTTCCCACATGTTGATGCATATTCCCAGGACAAGACCTCAGATAAAATGACAGTCATCAGCGACACTCCGGAGGATGAGCTCTTCAAATCTCGCTCAGAGTCCCAGTTGTCCCCTGTCTTCCCCAGGCATCGCAGCTTGATTCGCCAGCCTGTAGTATGTGTGGAGAAACTGAGTCAGGAACTCATCCCGGGGAGCGCAGGCTCAATAAACTTTCACACAGAGGACAGCACTGCCACTTCCACCTGCGCTGACAGGTTTCTGTCCCCACAGAAGGATTCATCTATTTCCAAATGGCCTGTCTTCACTCAGGATCGCTTCAAACCAACAAGCGATCTGCCAGAGGACAAAGATGGCCATCAAAATGCTAACGGGGAGGAAGACGATACTCAAATACCTGATGAAGATACTCCTTTACAACCACAGCTAAGCCAAGGTTTGAGCACAGATCCAGATACGTGCCTTTCACCATCTAGAAGATCCCAGATATCAAGCCCCAAATGTGTGCCTGAAAACAGCAATGAAGACGTCACTGAAACAAGTGTAAGTATGATAGCTTAAAATAAAACTATGTAGATGTTTATCAGTTATGCTACTGTTCGGATCAAAAGTGAGTTAAGACTTAATAATGTTACAACTTTTCTATTTCAAATAAATGTTGTTCTTTTTAACAGCAAAGAAAATGTATCACGGTTTCCACAAAAATATGAAGTACCACAATTGTTTTTAACATTAACACTAAAAAATTTTTTTCTTAAGCACCAAATCAGCATATTAATCGGATCATGTGACACTGAAGACTGGAGTAGTGATGCAAAAAATGTTGCTTTACCATCACAGGAATAAATTATGATTACGTTTGAAATGAAAAGTGGATTTTATATTGTAAGAAAAATTGAGAATCTTACTGTTTTTACTGTATTTTGATCAAATAAATGCAGTATTGGTGAGCATAAGAGACTTCTAAAAACATTCAAAAGTCCCACCAACCCCTAACATTTGAATGATAGCGTGTATATCCTTCAGATTAAATGCCCATTAAAACCAAGGATGACAACTATAACAGTAAAAATATAGTTCTATAATCAGAACGGACAGTTATCGCTCATGGTATCATCAAACAGGCCTTAATCCGCTGTAATGCATGTTCTAATCATTTTATTTAAAGATTTTACTTAAAATAACAATTCTGCACTTGGAAAGCTACCCAAGAAGGTCTTATGTGTAAAAATCAGTGGAAAACCGTTAGTATCTGTAAAGTCCTCGACCTACTATGTTATTCATTTGTTACTCGTTCTGTATAGGAGACATGAAATGTGAATTGGGATTACAACATCCCTGACTCTGTCTATCATCTCTATTTGTGTTCTAACTCTATTGTATTATTTTAACAGAACAATCCTGACCCAAAGCAAGTGGAGGATCAAACCACTCAGGGTGAGAATGTCAAATCTGACACTGGTATGTTGTTTCTTACACTCCTCCTCTCTAGTGTGGCCATACTGGCAATGTTTGCTCTATTTACTCTGAGACATAAGCCTAGAACCAAGAGTTCTACCACTAAGTGGTACTTTGGGGATGTGTAGTCATGTCAAACGAAATGCTTAGTGTTGAGTATAGAAGTAAGGCAGTTTGATTGTGAGTTCTGGCAATAGAAAAGCATTTACTTTATGCTTTAAGTTGCATGTGTGGTTGACCCACTGTTGCTGCAAGACTGAGCAGTGTTTTGTAGTATTCGTCACCACACAGAGCGAGGTTGGTTCCTGCCGACAGGGCCTGTTGAGTTATTGGGTTCTCTGTGCGATGGTTCCATACAAATGTTAATTCAGCCTTTTTATAAAAAAATATATATGAAAACCTCTTATTGACATACTATACCGTTAATACTTTTATATAGAGTCACTGTAAAGACATGTATAATGTTAGAAAGATTTCTATTTCAAATAATTGCTGTTCTTTTAAACTTTCTATTTACCAACGAATCCTACAAAAACATGTGTAAGAAGTCTGACAAGAGGCTTCTTTCAAAAACATGTAAAACAAAAAAAAAATATATATATATATTACCGACCCCGATCTTTTGACCGGTAGTGCGCAATATCTGTGATTCTGAACACTTGGGTTCACCCTAATCATTTCATCATGTGTTAAACTGCAGAAAAAGCTCCAAACCAGTCTTGGAATGAAATTACCAGTCACATGGTCTTGCATTTAGCAGATGATGATGATGATGATGAAGAAGATGATGGCAGTGAAGAGGTAGGCAGGATACTGTACTTTAAAGTTAACAGTTTGTAAATTTAAAACAACTGCATGTTAATGCACAAGAATATTATTATATTAATCAGTATTTCAATGTATTCCGATTATGTAGAAATTCGAATCTGCCATATGCCTGTATTCAGAAATTTGTGTCGAAATATCCACATAAATGAACATTCGCTTGTATCAGTGCATGTCCAAAAAATATAATATGTGCATGTCTTAGATTATCGGGAATATGCTGATTACAAAAATATTCCAATAGCTACATGTAAACATCCAGGTTTAACCAGAATTGGAAAATGATGTCCTTTGCACTGCAGGTTGTCTTCCCAAGCCCAGTCAAGAAGATTTCAATCAGGCCAATCAGGACTGAGCTTTCCCCAAACCAGTCCTGTATCTCTTCAGCTACCATCACCCTCGATCCTTCCACACAAGACACACAAATGTCTCACTCTGTCCTGGAGGAGGACTCAAGAGTGTCCAAAGGTGCTGAGTCCCAACCCTCTGACCGTAAACCTACACTTACTTCAGTGGGAAAAGGACCATGCACAATCTCATACTACTGGGGAGTGCCTTTCTGTCCCATGGGGCAAAGCCCGGACGAGTACACGCGTGTGATCATGTGTCAGATGGAGGTATACGAGAAGAGCCTGAAGGAGGCCCAGCGAAAGCTGCTGCGCAAAGCAGATTGGGGGCAGCCAGTGAGTGACATCAACTGCCAAAACACCACATTACAGCGTTTATAGGAACAATCTGAAACTAATCAGCTCTCCTCATGAATATTAATTATGTCATATATTTAGTTTTATTTTGTACAGTCAAACCAAAAATGATTCAGACACCAGATATAATTTTTTATATTCTTTTACTAGTGGGTGCAGGACACTATAGTTAATTTATGTAAGTGAGGATAGCAAAATAAAGTAAACTGTGACACATTATACCCCAAAAATTCTTCATATAGTGGACTACCAGTAAAATATATACAATTTTGGGACCAAAAATGATTCAGACACTTAGACCTGACCATGTTTTGCTTAAGTGTTTTATCTTTAATTGCTAATGCAACCTTTTTACACCACAGACTGAACAATATTAAGCATTGCTTGAGCTAAACTGGTATTGTCTAATAGTGTACTTAAATGTAACAGCTGAAAACTGACAGCTATTCAACCTAATTCATTTGTGAGACCGTCTAACAGAAGGACGGCCAAAACCACTGAAATATCAACTGATTTGATTTGAGTTTTTGTCATATTTGATTACCGTTTTCTAAACTATAGCGAATAAACTGTGATAATGTGAGAAATGTTGAAGGTGTCTGAATACATTTTGGTTTGACTGTATCTGACTGTATCACTGGTAACAATACCTTTTTCATATAGTGGTTTAGTGATTGCCAAATGATACATTTGTTTGTTTTTAGGTGTTGCCTGGCTCCTCAGAGAGGCCGTTCGGTGGGAGGAGATGGAAGCGCAACAGAGCTCCTCAGCTGTCAGAGGATGAGGAGGAGAATGAAGAAGAGGGAGGGAAGGAAAAGAACAGAAAAGCGGTAGAAGAAGAGAGGGAGGAAGAAAGGCAGGGGTCTGTGGTGGGGTCGCAGGAGGAGGCTGAGGGAGGACAGAGTGAAACATACGTAGTTGTGTCTTCTCCAGAGACAAAAGATGAGCAGGTGGTGGGTATACTAGTTTTGGTGTTACTGTAATCTCTATATCAGGGTGATTGTTTAGATCTAGGGATGTCGGTGTCATGTGAAATTAACCGATTTTGTTGGCAGAACTAGAATTTCAGCATGTCTGCTTGGATCCATGGCTTTAAGTAGCTTTTTAGGGGTTTTTAGTGTAATACCAACATCAACCACAAGATGACACTCCAGTTATTGACCGTAACAAAGACAAAATGTTGTTAAGAATATTGCTGCACCTGTTGCTGATATCTTGTTTGCCTTCTCAACAGGCAAAAACCCCTTTCTTCAGCCAAGAGGAGCCTGTAACTGCAGCTGCAAATAAATCGTTCAGGTAAAATAGCGTGTAGTTCTGGTCTTTAGATTTCCACCACAGTAACTTCTCCACCAATTATGTTACACATTCTACCCTTTGAAAGAATTAGGCGACATGCTTATGTCAGAAGCACACAGTCAGCATCAAATTTAAAAAGGTATATCAGTAACACTTTACTTAAAGCCTTTCTGTAAATGCATTATAAAAGTATTTTTAATGGAGTAATTATGCCTTGTAATGCATTGTATGGTCTAATGAATAATTGTAACCACTGTTATAATATATAATAAAACGTATCTAATCATTAATCTCGCCTTTAGAAAATATAAGGCATTAAAACAATATTAATTATAGTTATACTGCATTTTACTTTGGTTACAATTATTTATGAAAAGATCAAATGCATTATAACGTACATTATGAATACCTTTTATAATGGATTATTATACATAAGTTTTTAAATGTTTTTTAAAAGAAGTCTCTTCTACTCACCAAGGCTGCATTTATTTGATTAAAAATGCACACAAAAAACAGTAATATTGTTAAATATTATGACAATTTAAAATGACTGTTTTCTATTTTAATATATTTTAAGATGTAATTTATTCCTGTGATCAAAGCTGTATTTTCAGCATCATTACTCCAGTCTTCAGTGTCACATGATCCTTCAGAAATCATTCTAATAAGAAAATATTTTTAATATCATTGTGTGTATTTTTAATCAAATAAATGCAGCCTTGGTGAGTAGGAGACTTCTTTTAAAATCCCAAACTTTTGACTAGTAGTGTGTGTGTGTATATATATATATATACTTAAAAAAAACCTTTTGAGGTCTTTAAGTTAAAAAGACACAAGACATTTATATTACATACAATTTATATTTAATTAATAATTATATTTAATTTATTTAAGATCTATATAATAAAAGTGTTTCTTTTGAGCTTTCTGTTCATCAAAGAAAATATTTATCATGGTATAATATAAATGTATTGTATATCATTTACATTTGTATTTACGTTTGTTTTATTGCATATGTTTATTGTTTATTTTTCTCATTTCTTACATACAGTATTTGAAGGAATAGTTGGCATAGAACTGAAAGATTTACTCAAAGTGATGTAGTGGATGGGGCTGAAGCTCTAAAAAGGACAAGTAGCATCATAAAAGTATTATAAAGCTGTCCTATCGCATCTCATTGACAGGAAAAAAACTCCGTGGGATATTTCAGATGCAACTCAAATAAAGGGTCCAGCTGAGAAGGAGGAACAGGAAGCCCAGACTCACGAGGGTTGTGAAGAGGATGAGATAGTTTGTCCAGGTATGTGACTGAAGTTTCCAGCTCTTCAGTAGATGATGGAAGCATTTCCTGTGGCAGAAACATAATCCGGTTCAATGTGAATACAGAGACTCAGATGACTGAAAACAGCTCACCAGAGCTAATGATCACCAGTCCTGCCAGTCCCGCACGGGTACAGTAGCACTATACAAACACAGGCAACATCCTAAAAGAAATGAACTTTGTATTTACAAGCTGTGTAGGACTCTGAATGAAGACCTTGTAATTGTAAGAGAGCTTCCCTGGTTCACAGCCCCAGTCTCAAGTTGCCAGCGTCAGCGAGGTGATGGAGGTGGAGGAGGGAGGAGGTGCGTCTGTAGCAGCGGAGGAGATGATGGAGCAGGAGAACGATCCAGCAGAAGCTGCTCCTCCTCCTCACAGTCAGAGGATGGAGTGTCCCATGTGCTCGAAACTCTTCCCCTTCAGCAGGATCGAGATCCACGCAGCTTACTGTGACGGCGAAGCAGACCAGCAGGAAGAACAATCACAAGGTCAGCTCTGTAACCGGTCAAGTCCACTCACCTTTATTTATAGAGCGCTTTATACCATACCAGGAAAATAATGATTCAATGATGGAAACGAAAGACAATAGTAAAGTCATTATTCAGGTCAAATCAGTTCTGAGGTTATTCACTTCCGTTCGAAATGAGTTATAGCAGCTGTAGAAAACAGTGATGTCATCGTCCAGCTAAGTTCAGTTCTCATCCAATAGTGTCAGTACAGTCAAATTAGTAATATTGCTGAATATTATGTGTGGCGTATGTATGCTGAATATAGTATTCAGCATGTAAATCGATTTAGGAAAGAAGACCAATCATATTCATTATGCAACTATTATGATGCCACCATTACTGCTAATGGATTCTATGCACAATCGCTTTTGCATTTGACATCAGTGGCCGTCGCGACTTCCTGTGCTGTGCAGGGTATGGAAATTAAGCACAAAATAAAATCTTGAGGAAGTGTCACATGACAGGACAAATTAACATTGATCCGATCCACCTCCACATTAAAGGTATTACGCTTCTGGGATTTATTACTAAAACGTTATGGTTTAATGTAATATACTTAAATGTTAATAATGTAGTAATATATAATGTAATTATTTGTAATCAACAACAGTTAGTAGACATATGACAGAAGGAGTTCACGTAGCACTGAGGTTTTAGTGGAAATGCATATGCAGTTGGTGTGTATAGAGTCTATTGTCTGTGAGATATTTGTGGAAAAGGTCTATCAATTTGTGAAATGAAATATTTGATTTTATTGTAGTTGTTGGCCGACGGAAGAGGACCAGAGGAAATTTAACAGAGGCGTCTCAGCGATCTGGCAAGTAGGTGCAGCAAACATCCAATGAACATGTTGAGAATAAAGTACAATAGTAGTGTCATAAAAGACACGACGCACATTTGAATGGTCTTTTTCTTCACAGATCAGCAGAGATGGAGAAGTGCTTCCTGTGTCAGGAGTTGTTTTCTCCCCAGGAGTATCCCGAACATGTCGATTTGTGCGTTAAAAAGAAAAACCAGAGAACCGATCAGGTGACCGTTACATACTGAAACAAGTATGCTTACTCGTCATTTTTAAATGTTTAGCGTTCTCTGAAAGGACAGGGCTCGACATTGTCTTTTCATTCACTTGTCCGAGTAAAAAATGTTGCTTGTCCGGAATTTATTTTTCTTTTTTTGGGTTGTAAATATAATTTATTCTGAAGCGATATTCTCATCTCTGTTCAGTCAGCGTTGACATATTTAAATCTGCATATTTATGATATTTTCACCTTTTATAAAGGGCATTTTTTCCCCTCTAATCTTATAAATATATGCTTTATCTTTCATTTTAAATTTCAATTACTCAATAAATTCAATTAGAATAAAAAGACACTATAGGGCTGTTACCAATCAAATTAAATAACTTACACTGAAAAATTACAACTGCTTTAAATAATGTTATGAGATTGTTTTCAATATTCTTTTGAATATACAAATAAGAATGAAAGAAAGAAAAAATGATTGTTTTAAAGCACCCGTAGGTGGCGGCAGGTGATCGTCTTAAAGGGTAACTAAACCCTAAAACAACCTTTTTTTAGTTAATGATCTGTAAGACTGGGGCTTTATTATTATATATGGTGTAAAAACGTCTGAGTGCTGCCCTCTTCAGGTTGAACGGTGCAGTTGAATTTTCCTATTGGAAGTTGTGGTGCCCTGTGATGTAAGCAGGCACCAGCTAACCACGCCAATTCTAACTCTCTCTCACTTGCCCCTTCAAAAAATCCACTTGTCCCAGACGAGCGTTAATGTCGAGCCCTGTGTTTATATCAAGTTTCATATTGTAGTGTTTTTGCAGGAAAACGGCCTACTTGCTGCTCTGGAACGGACAGAACGGAGACCTACTGGTGTGTAATATTGATTTACATTTACATTTATTGAATACATTTACATATTGATTGAATTTCTGCTGTTTATGCCAATAAAGCTTGACCGATGAGGCTTTTTATTATATTTAAATCTTCACTTTCAGGCAGTGATGAACCTGGACCATCTGATGTTTCTACAAAGAGCAGCTGGTACAATTTCAATATTGTTTGCTAAACATTGTACGTGCATATGCCTTTAATTTTTTTCCAATAAAATCAGCACTAAACATTTCATGAATGCTCCCCCAGTGGTCTTGCGGTGACGGAGACGTCTGAAAGCATAGACTCCTCGTCGATGACTTCCTGTCCCAATAACACCTTCAGTCCTCGATCAGAAAACTCCGACTGCCTTATTGACTCCTCTAAGAACAGCCTAAGACTCTCAAGAAAAAGAAAATTCAAAAGATAGTGTCGACATGCTTTTAGGAACACTGGTGTCCGTGCTTTTCATTGCCTCTCCATTTCTATGGCTTTTTATAAAATAAAAAAAATACAAATTTATATATTTAAGTCTTTGTTGGGTTATAAATGTGTATTAAATGATATTGGCACCTTATGACGTTTGTATTAAGTGTCTGTTTTTAACCTATCAAACATACCTCTGCCTGTGCCTTTTTCTTCAGTGAAATGTCACGATCGGAGTTTCACATGAGGGAGAAACAATTCCCCACGCATGTGAAAGAAAGAACTGAAATTGAGCAGTGCTTCATCGCTGCACTATTGGCGATGGACCTTTTTTGCCTGAGATTTTTGTGAGCGCACCTTTACAGCAAGCTTTTCTTTACATTTTCATTGAGAAGCTTGGAAATTTTTACCATATCGTTTTCTGAATGTCCCTTCTAAAGTGCTGGGTATATTTTAAGGGCTTACAGAAATGTTGTCTTTCTCTAAACATGCTTGCCAGTCTCCGACCAGATGACCTACAGGATATACACACACACTCAGGATCAGAGGTTTGGGATAAGCAGTGTGTGATTTGTGTGTTGTGTAATGTCATTTGATTTGTGTGATGGCAGCGCCATCTTGTGGGATTTGTTTGATACAGCACTTCATTGTAGTTTCCTTTATATTTCCTTCACACACGCTGTAATCTAGAAGGGGTTTTCCTCTCCAAGGGTTGGTGGAAGAAAGAACATCCAGAGCGCAGGTTGATTATTAAATACTTTTACCTCATTTGATTCATAAAGATTCACATTCTGTGCTGTTTTTGTACCCAAGAGTGGAGCAACATCATCTCTGCTCAGACATAATGTCATCCCATGTATATTTACTCACAATCTACCATTTAAAAGTTTGGGATTGGTAAGATTTTTTAATGTTTTTGGATATAGAAGTTAAATATATATACTGTATCAATGAATCCTGAAAAAAAAGTATCACAGGTTATAAAAAAAAAAATGTAAACAGCACAACTTTTTCCAACATTGATGATAACAGGATCAAATCAGCATATTAGAAGCGTATTAGATCATGTGACACTGGAGACTGCAGTAATGAAGTTGAAAATTCAGATTTTGATTTTTTTTTTAAATCAGTGTTTTAATGCTTTCCCCCTGCACATGTGCAAATGTCCTCAAAGAAAAGAGAGAATATGGAGGGAAACAGGAGGAATGTATGTCGCAGAATGAGGGGGTGGGGTGACGTCTCTCTGCGGGACACTTTGCATTGCAATTGTGGCCCAGTTATTTAAGGATTCATGAGAATGTCCAAAAGTGTGGACAGAACAAGTTTTCTTCACTCCATATCTGCAGTGGAAAATATAATGTGACTAAGGTAAATCAATTTGAAGGTTCAATACATTTAGGTTTTTAACATGAAAATGTTTTAATGACATTTTTTCTATTTTATATAAGTACAATAAGGCTCAATGTTGATGCATTAGTTGCCGTATATATGATAATGTAATTAGTTGATGAATTAGTATTCCTGATGTAATGTAAAAATAGCATTCATTAATCTAGATAGGTTGGGTTAATTATAAATGCAACATTGTTCATTGTTAATTCATGCTCATCCATAAAACATGAACTAATAATAATTGACACAACTTGAAATGTCAAAAATGCGTTAGTAAACGTTGTAAAAAAAAAACGTGCTCGTTGTTAGTTCATTGCATGCATTAACTATAACATGTTAGCAAATTGAAGTTTATTGAAAAGTTTTATGATTATTTTATGTTTAAATAAAGAAAATATTTAATCGAATTTATTAAATAAACACAACTGACATAAAGAGCCAAGCCTATGTGTAAAATAATAACGGTTATGATGCTTGCAGGCATTATTTGCAAAGCCTCAAAACAAGTTCCCATGTGATTTGGCACTGAAATATGCGAATATTGTCACGGTATCTGCTGGAGAGGATCTGTATGTCAATGATTATGTAGAGTAGACATTCTTGGAAATGCTCCACCCATTTCATCTTAAAAAACAAAGAACGGTTGGGTTTAGAGTGTGATACACATACAAAAATAATAAGGAAAAGTTGGTACATATAATCTTTGAAAGAAGCCTGCACTTCATTTTATGTTCAAAAAATCAAAGATTATAAACCATCCCTGCTGGGGGGGAAAACAGCTAAAAACAAGCTAGGCTAGTTAGCTGGTTTAAGCTGGTCTCCCAGGCTGGTTTTAGAGGGGTTTTGGTCATTTTTTTAGCTGGCCAAACTGGTGTTCTGCTGGTTTTAGCTGGTCTCCCAACTTGACCAGCTAAGACCAGCCTTGCCAGCTAAAAAAAAACTGCCCAAAACCCCTCTAAAACCAGCCAGCTTGGGCTGGTTTTAGCTGTGTTGTTTCAGCAGGGGTTTTTGCTTTTGTAATGGGTGTTAATCAAGTTTTAGTCAGTTGATTCACACTTCCATCATACACATATCACTTCACACTGTCTTTGAACATGCTCAGGTTTGTCAATGTGATATTGTGACGCATATTTTATTCTGGGGGGTTGAGGAACAGCTGAAACAAAGGCTTTTGTGTTGTTAAATTTGGAACAGATTTTAGTTCTGGCTTAAAGGATTTTATTTTACAGCAATAAGACTTTATGGACTCCTGAAGGGAAACTCAGGAGTGAAACAGGTCCAGTTTTGTTCCATTATCGGCCCAGCACTTCTGCTTCTATTTGGCAGAAACCCAGAATCTTTGTGGCCTCGTACAGCCTCAAGAAGTTGAGCAAAACAAGGAAGCTCATGAGCTGTTAATACTGAGTAGTATTTCTTGCAAGATTGCAAACTAAAACATGAAGTGTCATATTTCAGATTTCACTGCCAAGAGAGAAAGGAAAAACCACTGCAATAAGTATGTTGACATTTGAGCTATAGGCTATATTTGATTTCAGGATGCCACAAACTTCCTGAGAAAGCTTGGTTTTCCACCGGGTCAAGGTCAGTTTTAAAAGAAAATTCAGGCAGACCGTCCCATAGCTCGAAAGCACCATTGCTGTTTCTTTGTCCAGTTTGTGTTCCAGTCATTTCAGACACTTCCTGTGGAGAGTTTCCTCTCTCTAGTTTCATTTGTTTTGGGTAATATCATTTTCTTCGCCTAGTTTAAATACCTCAACATCCCAACCTGGTGGTCTCGTATTATTCCCATTGCTATTGTTTTTTACTCCACCCCATTTCCTTCGAAGAATACTTAAATTTATCTCAATAATGCATTTTCCACTTTTGCCTGATTAACATTCTTAGAACATGCCATTGGTTCGACAAACAAAGTAGCCCCGCCTCCGAATCATGCCATTGGTTGAGCCAGTTTACAAAATACTTTAATAACTTTGATTGTAAATGAGTTTATCATAGAGGTCAATCAAAAAAAACATTATTTTTATCACCAAATGTAAGAGTATATACGCCGAAACAAGCTATTAGCATACATGCTAAAATATAGGCTATTAGCATTGTTTTTAGCTTCTCTCTCTCTCGCCTTGTGTAGTATACACTTTAGAGTACATTTAAAAAAACTATTTAGAAAAATAATATAGGCTACTTTCATACTTAAGTGTGAATAGAATGTAATGTTTTGGAGACTTATTGTTATTTACTATTAAATGAAAATGTATTATTGTTTAAATTTATATTAAATGTAATTAGGCTAGTTGAACTTAATAGTGCTTTTGACCCACTTTTAGCAAATTTAAAGTAGGCCTATATAAACTTTAAATGTAATAAAAATAAATACGGTTAAAATAGTGTAACCGGTTACTTCGGTAAACAGATCAAAATGAGTGTACTTAGCCTAAAGCATGACAAAAGATTATGAAAACAATGATTTAAAATGTACTTTAAAGTAAACATTTAAATGTGACATTATTGCAAGGTCCAAAGTGTACACTTAAGTGAAGAAAAAGTCATGAAAGTGTACTTTTTAAGTACACTTAAATGGCCTTTTATTGATGTGCAATTACAGTGTTTTTAAAATATAGGCCTATATACTTTCAAGATTTGAAATATTCAATACAATTAAGCACACTTTTTCACAAGAGTGTATTTCACTTGTAGAAATTGTTAGTATAGCATTTTAACAGCAAGATGGCACAATGTTCTCACTGGTCAGGATAAGACTTTTGTTAATAATTCAATTTGTTGACTATGTAAAAGTAGGCTATCTGTTAACTTTCACAATGGGTCAGTAGGAACCATGATGAGCGGTGGCAGGAGGGAGCCAAGAAGTGACACAACAACAACCATTATCAGAAAAAGAGAAGCAGAAAATCATGAAGCCCGGCCAGCCTGTGAACTAATCTGTACATGCGTGTTAATTCCGTCACAGAATAAGAGGTAGCCTAGTATGACTCTGAATATAAAGCCACTGTTTATTTCTGGCTATATCCTATGTAACTAATTTACAAATCTATTTTATTGGCGTACTTAGAGAATGTTGAAGCACATCTCCACTGTCATATCTCAGAGAAATTGAAGGATAAATCGACTGACGAAAGCAGTTTCCCACACTTGCAGAGTTTGAACACTGACCAAAAAAAAAAAATGTTAGAGGCAACAGCGCCTCCATGAGGTCTTTTAAAGCCAGTGTGAGGAAGAATGCTTCCTGTGTGTGTGTGTGTGTGTGTGTGTGTGTGTGTGTGTGTGTGTGTGTGTGTGTGTGTGTGTGTGTGTGTGTGTGTGTGTGTGTGTGTGTGTGTGTGTGTGTGTGTGTGTGTGTGTGTGTGTGTGTGTGTGTGTGTGTGTGTGTGTGTGTGTAAAGAGGCATTTCGCTGCAAACTCCACTAAAAGAACCACATTTTTATATTGTTGAGGTAAACAGATATTTGATAACAATTGACCTTGACTGTAGCTTAATGTCACAATTCATAATTATTATACTGTATATTTATAAAGCATATAATTTCCAATATACAATTCTTAATTATACACATTAAATTTATTGCTACTTTTGTTATGTATATAACATACAAGTTTGTGTTTATATAATATATGTATAATCACAAATAATCACATCTGTGTATACACTCACACACACACACACATGATATATGCATACATTTCTTCTATAAACACAAACTTGTATGTTAGATGTGATTAATCACAATTAATAGAATTTATATATAAATATATTATATATATATTTAGAGTTAGAAAATATAAAGCTTGTTGTGGATGAAATGAGAAGAATGATGATATTATTAATGATATAATTAACAATAATATTACTGTTGTTTTTTTTCATTAATAAAAATCCATTTTAACCTTTCTCATTTTTGGGTTGCAAAACTGAAAACTACACTTCTTCGTTTTTTTCCTCGTCAAGAATTCTTTTATCAGTTCATCATAATAAAAAAATAGTTCATTATATTTATGCAGTTATATAATCACAATATCACATATTGCCTTATTTATTCATTCATTTTTTCACCAAAGGATGACCATCCAGAGTTCAGAAGATGGAGGATGCAGAAGAACTATATTGAGTTGCTTCAGACATTCTACAATGACCAAGCCAGGGTGTTTACAATGTGATCTCCTGCTTTCACATATCCTCTCAGTATCAAATTCTCAATAACATTAATCAGTATTGTAAAGTTTGTATTTATTGCCCTTCGCTTAAGAGAGATGGCCAGTAATTGATATCAAATTGTTAAATAACTTGTAATAAAAATAAAAAAAGACTATAATGAGAATATTTTCTGGTGTCAGCAAGAGCAAGAAAAATGAAATGTCACAGCCATTGTCTCGTGGAAATGATCACGTGGAGACCCCCCCCCCCCCCTGCTGGAGAACAAAATGTAACTATTTTGAATTGTTTATTATATAAATATTTTAATGTCTATTAGCCTATACATTAACAGTCTCATTTAATAGTTACAGCAACCGACTGTACTGGCCAACAAGACCCGTGTTTACAATGTGAACAAGTAGCCTACATTTTTAGAGGGAAATTTCATGCATAAATTATAGACCAGACATTATATTTATAGACATTAGATTGAAAAATAATAACACCATTTTTTATATATATATATATATATATATATATATTTCACGTCAGACTAGTAATGCAGATCTTTAGAGGGTTCTCTATTTATTGTATGCATTCTAAATGGGCTATTTTTTAGAAGAACAGCACGCATGCTCTGTAGGCTATACTGTACATATGGATTTTGTCTTGAAATGCTGAATTCAAGGCTCCATGTTGAAATTGTGTTGTATTTCGTGATCACTGTTAGTCAGTGGGTTAAATTAAACCGCGAGCATGTTTCCACAGGCAATTTTGTGTACAATGCATAACATATATTAAAGTTCTTTTGGCAAATGGAGTTAAGCCACACCTAGATCCTGCCCTATTTTCACAAAAAGGCACAAGCTTTTCTTCAGCTACGGTTATGTGTGTGCCGGTGCTGTTAGTACCCGGCTGTGTAACTTGATAGGGGGCATCGAGAGGGATAAGGGAATGTTGAGTTGCAATGGAGCAGAGTACGATACAGGTAAACTGAATTACAACTTTAAACTGCTACTTTGTTGCAGCTCAAGGCGCTCGGCGCGCGAGCTCGAAATTCGCTTTGGTTTAAAAAAATTTAAATCCTATTTTTTTTAACCGCTGTTCTCGCGACACGTCGTGATATTTGAAGTTCGTTAAAATGCCGAATTGATTCCTATCCAATAAGCCAACGAAGACTTGAAAATATTGCCTCATATTTCGCCGAGAAACTTTTATTTGTTTCGAAATGTATTTGAAATTTCCTCGACGCTGTGTGGTTTTTGTGTGACGATTTATTGTTATATCAAGAGCGCGTGCGTTTGATATTTCGATTTTTTCGTTAATGATTAATTTCTTTGTGTGTCGTGTTGACTACCTAGATTCTCCCTCTTTTGCCCCCCACCCCCACATTTCACATTTGCCAAGCAGATTTTGTTTTAATTTCTTTATTAAAAACGATACGAATCGAGCCCACGATTTTAAAGGGAAAGCTGCATTGTTTATATTCACGATCTGTCGACACATTTTTCGATGAAATCCCGCGAATATTAAGCATGATTTTTAAAATGAAACTTCTAGGAAGAGGTAAACTTGGTGGAGCTGCTGATTTTATTTGAGACTACGAAGTTTTTTCGTCAAGCTTAAGTTATTTGATCGTTACACGAGCCGTGATATCATTATTTTCATAAATGTTGTGTTTAGCAATAACATCGTTTATTTTTTACAATGCTTTTAATATTATTAAGAGATTATTAGTGTTGGCTAGAAATGCTAGGCTACAGCAGTAAATTTTTTGTCATGATATATGAGACTTTTATGTATGTGGCAGTAGGAAGTTGGCTGAAATATGTTGTTTCACATATTGAGTGAATACCAGTATTATTAGCTTCAGAGAGCACCCGGATTGAGGATGTTGTTTATCACTGTTGTTTTTTAAATGATTGTTTATAAAATATAAACCACTTTCATCCTCATGATCAACAACTCTGATATGAGTATTTTTTCATTATGCATGCTAATAAATGTAAACAATTTTGGGGTCAGTAAAAGCTCCCAAGGTCATTTTGGTTATTCTTTCGAAATCTTTCTCAAGCTCTCCATGTGATATTTTTTGGATTGGGATAAAACACTCACGTTGGAGAATATAAAGTGAAAAGTTGACTGTCACAGACGTGTATTGTGGTTTAACTGTTAGACTAGTTTTCTTTTTTTACCAGTAGGCGCTCGACATGTGGACGCCGAGTGTTGTGGCTTCTGATTGGTCGGTTTTTCGGTGAAAATGTGGGTTACCGGTGGGGGTGGGGCGGGGGTGATTGACCCTCGTGAACGGGTCCTATGATTGACATGTTGAGTTAAAGTACTGAGAGTATGTCATGCTCAGGCCACGTTCAAGAGCCAATGCAATATTACTATAGAAAAAGGATGACAAGCAATGCTGTGCATCTGCGAATTGTCCATTTACAAAATGCATATGGTTAAATAAAATAATTTCCACGTGCATATTGCATTATTTATAATTTTTCACTCATATTTGAATGTCGATACCAATAACGCATTCATGACAACGAAAACAGAAAGGTCGCCTATAGTTAAAGAGCTTATTACTTTATAATTTGTCATTGTGTTGTTAACTATGTTTGAAAATAATTTGTAGTGCTAATAACTAAGATATTTACTTCAAATTATGTATTTTATCATAGTTGCATATATAGGCTTTCATCCATATATACACCACCCTCATAAAATATCTATTATCAAATAATTTTGTTTCAGATAAATGAATTCCCATTAGCCTTTTTGCATTATAAATTTTTTTACAAGTTTTTTTTCTTTTCTTTTTTTACTCTTACTATGCTAATACATGCTATGCTAAAGTTATTAAAACAACAAAAATATTGATACTGGTATTAAAATATTTTAATGTTATCAAAATAATACAGATTTAAACACTATTATACATTCATGCTTTTAACCAAAAACATGTTATCAACTAAATTATCTTCAGTATGTTAAAGATATGAAGCAATCTTCACATAGTTCTTTAAATAATTAGTTTTTGTGATATTCCGTATAGCCTCCACATTTATTGTCCATTTGATCTAATATCTATTATCAAATTAATTCATGTTGTTTCAGATAAATGAATTCTCATTAGCCTTTTGCATTACTTATACCTTTAGCTATTTTATTTGTTTTATTTATTTTTAAGTCTCTTTTAGTATGCTAATACAATACAATAGTACTAAAACATTTTACTGTTATTAATATAATTTAAATGAACATAGTTAAACACTATTCTACATTCATGCTTTTGACCAAAAATATGTGTTATCAACTGAATTATCTTCATTATGTTGAAGAAAAAATGAACCAATCTTCATGCGTATATACATTTCTTTGAATATCACGAATAAAAACCTTCACATTTTATTGTCCATTTTTAGTTCCAGAATGTTTTTATATTTGATAGCCGAAAACCACATTCTGGCATCATCTCTGTGGAATTTTTATGTTTTACTTTCTGCAACTCAAATAATAGAAAAAAAAACCTTTGTGTTTTTCCATTGCTATCAGGCCATTCCTAAGTAGATTAATACATTGGAATGTGTTTTCAACCATGGAAACTTTACCAAACAATTCTGAGTAGGTTACGTGAATGATTAGTTCATGTGTAATTCGCCCCACTCTATAGTATGTTTTGGGGGAGTTTTAGTCTCCGATGTTCTGCTAGAAGTCGAGACGTTGAATATTTTTGTCTTTCCGCTCAGCTGATTTGTGAAGACAGCGACGCTTGCTGCTCACACAGATCATTTGAGTCATGTGAAGGGTGTTTGCATGTGTGTGTTTGTGCTTCGTATGCATACATTTTCCTCCAGAGCTCTGACTGTTATGAAGTGTTTGTGTAACGACAGCACTTCTATTTGCTTAAAATATCTGCGCAGGAGCAAATTCCAAATGAAATGAATGAATCGATGATGAACCACAGACTTGCTTGTGATCTTGTGTAACTTATAATTTTGTGCTCCGACTCATTAAAGAGACGGTTCACCTAAAAATACAAAGTCGTTCCGAACCTGTACGAGTTTCTTTCTTCAGCTGAACACAAAAGAAGATATTTTGAAGAATGTTGCTTAGACAGTCGATGGGGTGCATTGACTTCCATAGTAGTTTTGTTTTTTCCATACTATGGAAGTCAATGTGGTCCATAAACAGTTTGGTTACCCATATTCTTCAAAATATCTTCTTTTGTGTTTGGCAGAAGAAAGAAATTTGACTTGAGGGAGAGAAAATGATGACACAATTTTCATTTTTGGCTCAACTATCCCTTTAAAACTGAAGGTATTTAAAGGAGAACTCCGGCGGAAAATGAACCTTTGGTCTAATAAAACATTGGTACCTAGTCAACCGTTCTCTGAGATTTGTTTTCATGATATTCGAATGTAAAGAGTTTTATCTCTAAAAACTGTTTAGCGTATAACGCTAGTAATGGGGGCATATAATAAGTAAATCGCTAGTTCCAAAGGCTCAAAATAGCCCCACACGAACACAGTGACATAATGAGGGTCCCTACATGCAAAACGAAGCAGTGAGAACTTTGTAAGTGTACAGACCGTTTAATAAGAAGATATTTTAAAAAGACAGTCCACTTCGTGTATACAGACAGGAGCCATCTTTGGAAAACAGTCTCGACTAATCAAACCACGAAAGACGTGCTAAGTGAGCTGAACTGTATGAAGTTCAGTGAACTTCTGAACTGTACGAATGGCGTTCGTGGTTTGATTAGTCGAGACTGTTTTCCAAAGATGGCTCCTGTCTGTATACACGAAGTGGACTGTCTTTTTAAAATATTTTCTTATTAAACGGTCTGTACACTTACAAAGTTCTCAATGCTTCGTTTTGCATGTAGGGACCCTCATTATGTCACTGTGTTCGTGTGGGGCTATTTTGAGCCTTTGGAACTAGCGATTTCTTTTTACTTATTAAATGCCCCCATTACTAGCGTTATACGCTAAACAGTTTTTAGAGATAAAACTCTTTACATTCGATTATCATGAAAACAAATCTCAGAGAACGGTTGACTAGGTACCAATGTTTTATTAGACCAAAGGTTCATTTTGCGCCGGAGTTCTCCTTTAAGATGTTTTCTCACAGCTGCACAGGGTGACTTGGATTTCTTTTCTTTTCTCATGTGGATTTAGTCGCATGTTCATTCCCTAACCGGTTTGCTTTTGTGCGCTCTTGTCTTGATCAGTGGTTAGGTGCTCCTAGCTGCCTCCGAGGCTCCTTTGCCTTTTATAAGTCAGTGGGTTGCAAGCAGGAATCCGGGGGTGCGACTCGGGTCTGGGAGCTCGGGGAGTTCTACTTCATGCGCTGTGGCCCTCAGGAGCCGGTGTGTATAGCGGAGGTCACATTGCTGTGGGAAGATCAGACGCAGCGCCGCCTGCTGGCCAGTTCCAGACTCTACTTCTTACCTGAGGACACTCCGAAGGGCAGAGCAGTGGAGCATGGAGAGGTGAGAGAGAGGAGGGAAAGCTACAGAAATAACCTGTGGAAGAGTGCACGAGCGCCACATTACTACGTATACGTGAATTTATATATACAAAGTAATTATACACCGTACACACATATACATTATGTAAACACAAACTTTTATTTTGGATGCGCTTTTATTTTCACAGCCCTAATTGCATTACTAAGTAGTTACTGTACTTTAATTACATTAAATACTGTATAGACTATAGAAAAATTCTAGTTGAAACAACAGTGGATTTAACATTAATATTTATTCCATAACTTCAAATCTCAAGACATGACCAAGCTGTCTTCACTAGGTGCTGACTCGGTCACTCGAGACTTTTTATTTTATTTTTTAAGTTCCTTTATATCTCTCGTGTCAAGTTGTTTGACTGTTAAACATATTCTTATATTTATATACATATTTTTATGACCTTGCTAGAAAACGCTTTTATTCAGAAATATGTTTACATGGAATATTTCAGAATGTATTTTAGATTTTCTATCTTATGTCAAGTTGAAATGTTTTATATAATAATTAAAATTTTATGGATTATGATATTGACCTTGTGTTTGCCTTGTAAATAGCCTTGATGCTAACATGGAGTTAAATTTAATAAGCAAACAACAATATTTAACGTCTAATGTTAAAATGTTTCTAATGTAACCTCCTTTATTTAAATACTCAATACAAGAATAAATTATGGAATTTTATATTATTTTTGTGATAGAAGTAAAAAAAAAAAAACATTTACACAAAAATATGTGCATTTTTATTTTCATCTTTATTTTATTATTTTCAACTTTGATAATAAGAACCTTTAATAATTGTGCACCAATAATTATTTATGACTGAGCACCAAATCTGCATATTAGAATGCTTTATAAAATATCATAATAATTGTTACCAAAGGCGTTTTTTTTTTTTTTGCCAAGTAGTTTACAATCCAATGATGTACAATAAACACATGAACTCTACAAGACTTTAAGAAACAGTTCTGTAAAAGTTATTATTGGAGCCTTAATTATTTAAAATATTAATAGACGTATAGAAATGATGTGATAATGCTTATTAGGAACGGGCATCCACACATCACAGCTTTATGTAACTGTAAGTGTTGTCTCTTGAATGTGGCCTGAGCATGACGTACAAAAGAGAATGCAAAATCAAAATCTGTGGTATACAAAATGAAACACTGCTGTTAAATGATTTAACTAGCAATATTTTTAGTAACAGAATGATTTAAGGGACTCTTAGTACCCTAAACTTAGAATGAAGAAGAGTTTTTGAATTGCTAATGAACATAAACTAGTTATTTTATAGTTTATTTGGAGAATCCAGTCATATGCGAACCAAAACTTTTAAGACTCATTCTCAGATTCTTTTCATCTGAAGTTGAAAGACACTCATTCATTTCCTGTAAGAAGCAGTCATGGCTAACCTAGACAGCATTTTAAACAAGGCCTTGTAATGTTTTACTTCTTCATAATGTGTTTAGAACAAAAGGCCATTTTGTAACAAAATAAATGAGTAAGGAGGAATACTAAAGCTTTTCAGAGTTTTCATTGTAAACAGTAGAACGTGAGAATGTCGCATAGATAAGCATCTAAATGTCAACTGGGCTTTTACCCTTCTTTTTGTTTTAAAGCAATTGGTTGGTTGTTTTTTGCCTGAGGCGATGCTTCTCTTGTTAGTTTAACATAGGAAAAAGGGAGAGGCTTCTCTCTAGCTTTCACTAAAGGTGTTAAAATACTTCAGGCCATTGAGCAAAACCCCGGTCCTGCCTGTAAGCTCACGTTTACTTTGCATATTTTTTGCACAGGATGAAGTCATCGCTGTATCAAAAAAGATTGTAGTCAGAGTGGAGGATCTGGTGAAGTGGACTTGTCAGGAACCGCCACAGTGGAAGCACAGCAGTCCAGACATTCCCGGCCCGCTGATGGGCTCTGATGGGTCACAAGATGCTAGTTCTCCACAGGAAGGCAAAACGGAGAGTGACGGTGAGTAATGAAAAATCCTGAACTGCATTTTTTTTTTGTTTCTTAATGGGTGAGGACAGTCTGAAAAGCAGGGGAGACACAATTAAAAAATGTATCAGGGTCTTGCTTTATAGTAGGTGTCTTTAAACAGAAAAAAAAGAAAGTTCGATACAATGTACTCATTGTGTTCATATTGTATTGCAAAACACTTGCTGATATTGTGGTGGCATATGGGTAAGGTCAGGACAGGTTTGGTGGTGTGAGTAGGTTTAAGGGTGGGTTAAGGGGTCAACAGTGTAATTATAGATGTAATTACATGCAGGCATTTTTAAAATATAAGTGCAATGTAAAAACATGTATGTACACGTAAGTGCATTGCATCAAATTATTTATTTAAATGTTGATTACCGGTACATAGTAGTTAAAGACACTGAATATAAAGTGGGTCCTTTATCAGCTTGGCTAATGAATATTAATTGTGTTGTCTTGTAATTAATATTCAACAGGCCTAGGTGTCTTACCTTATTTGTTGAGAGGCAGATAGACATTAATGTTGACTGGAATGTTTCATTTTATGCATTTTGTTTACTCTTGATGAAGAATTAGTGACACGTAATTTTTTTTGATCGTTTTCTGTTATATTGAGGTTTATACATTATATATATATATATGTACACACTATTATAGTATTTATTAATATTTTAAATTAGCTTTTATCTTTATATTTTCATTTTTAGTTTTAGTAATTTTGTGTGCTTTTGTCATTTTTATATAGTTATATTCACCTTAATTCTTTTTCAGTTTTAGTTTTATTTAGCTTAAGTTGAAGAACTAAAATCATGGGAGTTTTAATTTGTTTGTTTTTTCCTGTTTTTAATTTAGTTTTTAATTGTGGTGTTAGTTTTTCATCTAATTTTTGTTTTATTTCAATTAACCAACCATTTTTGATAGTTTTGGTTAATAACTGCAAAATCGCAAAGTACATGATCTTGCCTTATTTTCTTATGAAACTTGTATTGTTTGAGTTAGGCTTTTGTCAGGAAGTGAATAAAGAGGAAGGCTTATGAAATTGTCCATTGTGTCTGTTTTTCAGCCTAAAGCCAACTGAACGCACATCACATTATAGTTAAGTATAAGTAAGAGTGAAATGTGTGAATAGGAACTTGTAGGCAGCATTTTGTGAGATTGTGATAGAATAGAAATGACATTTAAAAGTTGACTGTTTTTAAAATAAAAAAACTGTGAGCTACTTTTCATTTCAGGGGGGGGACCCGAAAGTGAATCATTCAGATTATTGTGGTTCAGCTTACACAAATGTAAAATTGCCTTCATAATATTTTGCAAACAGAACCCTGGAGTGTGATAATATAGTCGAGCCCAGGGATTGTAGCTAATATTGAATGAGTATAATTTCTATTTAAATATATCGTGTGGGTTTTTTTTGCACGTGAGCACTAAAGCTGTTGTGAGGGTGTTGTTGACACTTGTACTGATCATTATTTGAACGTAGGCTGATGTATGGACTGACACTTGTGTTTTGTGTCCTCTTTTAGACGAGTCTCTAGAAGTACAGCAGAAGGTCAAGGTCCTCAGTTACCCCCAGTACTGCCGTTTCCGTTCCCTTCAAAGCCGCGTCCCGGATCAGGCTAGCTGCCCTGGTCTGCAGGACCCCCATCTGCTGGCTCTGGGTGGAATAAAAGTGGCCCTCCAAAACACACGAGTCCTCTACTGTCGGGATACCTTCAACCACCCTACTCTAGACAGCAATGCTAGCATACTGACACAGCTTGGTGAGTAATACACTCTTGTTGGATTGTGACAGGGCTTGGTTAAAAATATTGATTTCTCGATTTTAATCAACTCTCATTTTAATGAACCGATATCGATTGTTGAATCCCAAGAATTAGGGATGCACCCAAATTTTGGCCTCCACAAATGCGTGTCTGTATAAGTCACAGAGCTCCAGCTCGTCTGGCACGGACCGTTTTTAACCGTGCTCCAATTAATCGATATAGATATCGAATCGGAATTGAATTCGAATCGCAAGCTTGTGAATCTAATCGTTGCTGTGATGTGGCAGGCTAATTCAGTTGTCAAACATGTAGACAATTAATGATGTTTTATTAACAAAGTTTGGGAGGAACACGTTCAGATAATTAACACGGGTGGAGAGCACTCCACAATCAGTGATAAGAGGTGTATATAGACTCAGCAGTCTCACCTCAATCCATTGACAGTTTAGCAGCACCCCTCCACCGCCCCTTCTCCACACTTCTAGTCCTAACTACTTACATAGGGGGGAGTACCGAGTACTCTGGGTTTGGGCCGAACTCCGAGCTCGGAGCCCTCCCCCCGGACTGCACGCCAAATACGCATTCAACTTTACCCCCTTTATTTGTATGTAAGTGTGAACTCGTGAAACTAAATTAAAGACAACCAAAATGTGTTTTACCACCCAATTGATATAATTGTCAGTGTACATCCTCGATAAAAGGCTGATTTGTGAATTTTTAGGGTTGTCAAAAGTACCGGTACTTCAGTACTAAGTTGTTACTTAAACTTTAAAAGCATAACGGCACCAGCCTTTCTGCAGTACCAGTAGTACCAAGCACCGAGTCAATCCGTTACCCTCGATAGGTGGCTGCTTTCAAACGCTTCCATGCATATTTGTGTAAGCGCTCTGTAAATACAAACCTTTGACGGTCTTACCAATGTGCTTTTGCAGTATTGAACTTTTTAGCCAATCACAGACACGTTTGTTGAGTGCATGAACGCAATAGGCTTAGTCGGAATAAGTTAGTTAGTCTGGCTCAATACGCCAGAGTTTGCACAGTTACCCCTTTTCCACCAACAAGAACCGGGTGCTGGTTCAGAGCCAGAGCTGGTTCGGAGTTGGTTCGACTGACAAGCTTACTAAGAACCGGTTTGCCTTTCCACCGGCTAGAGAGCCACAACAGAGCCAGATCTTACGTCACTGCATACGTCTCATGTTGCCCAGCAACGCTAGTGCGGTAGCGCCAAACACAAACACGCCAGGGTGGTTCGAGATGCATCGGCTTCTCGCAGATCGATCGCGGCATGACATCAAAGCACTGCGAAAGCGATCCAAAGGCACAAGGAGTCGTATGATCTCCAAACACTCCCGCAGCTCCGATCGGTCCGCGCCGCTCCGATGCATCTCGAACAAGCCATCAACAATAATGGACGTTGCGTTACTGATGCTCATGGGTTTGCAAAAATACATCAGAATCCAACGCGTTTGTGCAGCTCGCCGTAACTTACATAGATGGATATTATAATCAAGCTGCTATTAGCTCGACTAGCTGCTATTTAAAAATGGCGGTCACAAGTTTCTATTCGTCTTGTTGGTCATGGTAACCCCGCCCCCAGCCCCTGACGCAAGCGGTTCTTACTTGGCTCTGTTCTAGACCAGCAATGATTTGGTGCTACTTAAGAACCACTTTTCCTGGTTCGGAGCTGTTGCTTTGCATGTGAAAAAACAAAGAACCGAATTGAAACTAGGCTCTGGCTCCGAACCAGCACCAGCTCTGCCTTGGTGGAAAAGGGGTAAGAGTGAGCTCCAACCACCAAAGTATAAAGATGCTGTAAATAACAGATTAATAGTGCAATATAGACTGCAGTCCGTGAGCTTGCGCTGTGGCTGAACTGAAGAGATATCAGTTTCACTGATCATAAAGGAAGTGCTCTTTGTTTGCTTTCTGTACATAGCATGAAAAATGGTGAATGGGTTAAGTACACACTGCAAAGCTTAATAAAATGTGCGACTGAATTTAAAATTGGGATGTTTGACAACAGATGGTACAAAAAAAAATCTCTAATTTTAGTGCAAGTGCAGTAGACCTGCTACTTGTTCTGTTACCTGTAAAGTTTCTTCATTTTTTAATTTATTACTAATTTTTAATAAAAAAAATTGGTGCAATGTTTATTTAACTGAACAATAGTTCAAGGCTACATGCTAATGTTTTAAGTAGGCATGGACCAATGTATAGGCCAATAATCGGTATCGGTAAAATAAACTATTTTATCCATCTGCCAAATTTAGAGCGTTGTTAAAGAAAATTAACGCATTAACGGTTTAAAAGCACGTAACGTTAAAGGGATAGTTCACTTTGAAATTAATTTTTGGTATGTTTTAGCTTACCTCAAGGGCATCCAAGATGTAGGTGTCTTTGTTTCCGCAGTAGTTTCAATTTTGATATTTTTAGGTCAAACCGTTCTTGTCTGTCAGTCATATAATGCAGGTCTATGGTCACCTCCTCAAAGAGCATGCACAGAGAAGTCCAAATTAAACATGATTTAATGACTCGTAAATGTAAGTACACATTGATGGCCTAAGACACGAAACGAGCGGTTTGTGTGAGAAAACGAACAGTATTTATATCGTTTTTGCCTCTTGTAAACACAGCCACGTCCAAGTGATCTGAGGGTGCCGGCGCTTCGGTCTGCGCAAGCGCCGGAAAGCACCGGAAGTGATCTCTCGTGCGTGTACGTCACTCATTGTTTACACAGAACAGAGATTGTAGGTGAGACGGCTAATTAAAATGGTACTAATTTGCGCTTATCCGGGATGTTTAAACTGTCGTAAAAAAAATAAAACCATTGTATGAGTGACGTACACGCGCGAGAGATCACTTCCGGCGCTTGCCGGAAAAGACCGAAGCGCCCGCGCCCTCAGATCACTTGGACGTGGCTGTGTTTACAAGAGGTAAAAACGATATAAATACTGTTCGTTTTCTCACACAAACACGCTCACACGCTCGTTTCGTGTCTTAGGCCATCAATGTGTACTTACATTTACGAGTCATTAAATCATGTTTAATTTGGACTTCTCTGTGCATGCTCTTTGAGGAAGTGACCATAGACCTGCATTATATGACTGACAGACAAGAACGGTTTGACCTAAAAATATCAAAATTGAAACTACTGCGGAAACAAAGACACCTACATCTTGGATGCAGGCTCAGACTGACCCTATGAATCACCCGTAGTTCAAGCCAGGGTTGCCAGGTCCACGCTTTTTTAATCGCTTTGTTACTTCTGATAAGAAAAGTCTCAGCTTTAAAATGATGTCCCTTTATCATGAAATTAAAAAAATGATTGGCGTTTTGACACTCTTAAATGTGAAGTTACAGATCCCTGAAGTCAATAAAACGGCTTGTGACCAATGCCACTTAATGTTCCGTTAACCTCAGGAAAGTTAGTTAATGTTCACAGTTCATTAGTGAGCTATAAAAAAACATTAGAGAGGTGCTTATTTACTGTTAATTATACATGTACGTTTGAATGAATTAGTCATGAAGACACGTTTATGAAAACTACCTTATGTGTAAGTGACCTGGAGCCTATTTACTGTTAATTATACATGTTTTCATAAACATGCGTCTTCATGACTAATTTATTCAAACTACCTTATGTGCAACTGAGCTGTAAACAAACATTTCAGTTGTTATTTTAGTGTAATTGTTAAATCTGAAAATACATTTCAGTTGAATATAATAGTTTAACCTCTAATATTACAGTAATGTACCAAATGAGAGGGTTCCCTGTATAGTTTACAGTATTAGTTGGGAGAGCTTTTTTTTCTTTTCTTTAGAAAACTATCGGTATCGGCAGAGAAATGTAGTATTGGTGCATCTCTAGTTTTAATGTATTATTTACTTATCTTTAATAGCATTAAAAATGAACCAATTTCATTTATTTAATATTTGTAATTTTCAAAAAGTTAAAAATATATATATATTTAAACAAAAAAAAATTACAATGGTTTTTGCTCTGGTACTAAAATTGGGGCAGAGAACCGTGAAATTTGACTGCTATTGGTACTGTGACAACCCTACAAACACAATATTTACTGAACTGAGAAATACTTAAAGGCTTGCTCTTTGTTTAGTGTCATTCATTCACATTAATATTTAACTAGAAAGGAGTGTGTTAAATATTGTATTAGTTTGTACTTTATTAACATTGAGAAAGTATTGAGGAATTTCACTTGTGGTATTCATGTAGAAAACCCTAATATGTAGTATGTATTCTCTTACAGTATTTTAATTTTAACTCAAACAAATGTCTCAAACAAAAGTTTTATTAGTTGTATTTCATTGTACTAATAGCAGCACTGAGATCTTTCATAATATCCAGACTACACACTACAGGAAAGGATCAAATGGGACTGTTCACTTTTTGTAAAATGATTGAACTTTTTTGGCTTTTTTTTTGTCAAAACATGCTAAGTACTGTCGCCTAAAGATGATATATGTTTCTGTCCCAGGATGCTCTTCTCTCAGTCTGAAGGGGAGACCTCGTAAAAGAAAGGGCAGGGATGGCCAAGGATCCGATCAGCAAAACAATAACCATTTATCAGAGTCATGGATGGAAAGAATGAAGGTATGCTGTGGAGTTTGCTATTCAATTTGTTCTATAAACTTGTTTATGAATACAGATCTGATGGCCAAACAGGATGTTTTGAGATTTTGAACAAATAGTGAAGAATACTGTGATGTCACTCAGTGCTTCCTGTTTTGTTTTAACTTTGAGATCTTGACTTCCTTTCACACCATTTGTGACACTGTTTGCCAATTTTATCATCATTTTAGGTTTAAAAAAAACCTGAACTTGGGTGAAAATTTATATTATATTCTATGAGAGAGTTAAAAGCCATTTAATAAACAATCCTGATCATAGATTAATCAACATTACAACAATTGGGGAAAAAAAAGGTACAAGGCTGATAATACTTTATTAAAAATACTTTATTTGAGAACACTGCGGTTTTCCATGCTTCTAACTACAATATCCAATATTAAATATTGTAAGGTGAGTAGCTAGTGAGCCAGGGTTGGCAACTTTTTGCGTTTAGCTTGGAGCGAGAATTATTGTTTTATTATTATTTATTTATTATTTTAAAATTATTATTTGAGAATTATTGGGGGTTGTATTGTTGTAAAAATAAAACATAATGCCCCAAAAAATCCTTGCATCACAATAAGTGTATAGTCAAAACATTCGCTAAGTAAACAGAATTTCATTAAGTTTAGTTACATGTTACAATGTTTACATGGTACAATAACTGGTAGCCTACTGTTTTTATTAGTGCTTAAAACAAATTTCACGAATTCAATTCATAAGCTTGCGATGCGATTCTGATCTGGAGTCAGTATCGATTCAATTGGATAAATATCAGATACAGTAGCTACATGTTCATCTCTCTCAAGGAAAAAATCTTTTAACTAATGCTTTAAACAAACATGCATGAAGGTAATATGATGCCATAAAAAATCGAATGCGCAGGGTAAGATTTGTGAAAGTGTACATAAGTTTGCAAGCGTAAATTAAATTTGCATGCGCAAGAGTAGATTTGAAGGTGTAAATCGCCTTTCAAGTGTAAGAAAAAAATATTTACAGGATTTTACTGTTATTCGTAGGTGTAATTCATGTATTGTGAAGCTGCAGCTTCATGCTAACGCAAAATAAATTGGATCTAATTCTTCTGAATTCCATTTTTCCGCGCTTACACTTTTGGCACGGTTTTTGCGCACAAATGCGGCCAAAAGCATTGCAGGCCTGTGAACTGCTATTTGCAAGCAAAAACAACAGAGTCAGGAACTGGAGAACAGATTGATCGCGTAAAACCAACCTTTGTGTAAAAAAAATAAACTGTTGCAAATGTCTGAATGATTTGTTGTGTGCATGGGGCAAAAACGTTCCCGAAATAACCCGATTTGTACAGTTGCGTCTTTCTTTTGGCTGCGCGTACAGTTTTGGCACGATTCTCTCACTCATTGAGTTTTGCGAGCGCGAAGAGGAGGGCGGGTCCACCATGTAGCCAATCAAATGAGCATCTCGCTTTACTCTCGATTTACTCCTATCTTATATGGTTCAATAAACACGCCAGTCTCCAGAACACATCTTTATCTTCATTTGGCTCAGCATCGTTCTCAAAATAGTACTTTTAATGCACACATACATGTTAAATAAATCATGATTGCTTAACCTTAACTGTGGGACGCCTAACTTTACTTCACTATATTTCTATTAAATCCTAATCTAATTATGACAAATTATATATCGTTGGAAAGGTCTAAGACTTCTAAATAGATATTCTACCCCTGTTTTGTGTTACAAATTATGTAGGAAGAGTAATTGATGAATTTATGACAAGAGTGCACCTCAAAAAATCTGCATCATAACAGGAGGTCTGACCTTTGTCACAAAAAGTCGATGCACCCACTTTTAATCATTGAAACTTCTGTTTTTATGCTAAAAGTTCATAATAAAACATATAATCTAGTATTTTTCAATAAAACATGATAATATAATATTATCCTCTAAAATATAATATTATCTTTTTTATCGCCTTTTTTATTATATCACATATTTTAGTAGTTATCATAAATTAGGTATCATTTGAAAGCTTATAAACTCAGAATTCATCCTGTGAAAACTGTTTTATAATTGAACGCTGTGTTACCATAGAAACGGTACTCTAAATTATTTTATCAGGCTCCTCCCCTTTTGGGCATCATTATATTTCATAATTTATGATCAAAACCTTTTCTAATCTTGACAAAACACATTGTCAGAAAGGTCTGTGTCTCAAGGTTCCAAATTTTGTGACAGAATTGATATTTGGACAGAAAAGTATTAATTTGTTAAGGCAGAATGTATACAACTAAATTCAATGGAATTCAATGGCACCCGGTGGCTATTTTCGGTACTACGCCTAAACAAAATCTCATGGGAACTTCAATTTTTGTGATATCAACTTCAAATTTGGAACATAACTTGGTTAGATTTATGGCTTTGATTTTATAGTAATTTTAGACTAAAAAATATTTTGTAAAATATATATATTTTTTATATATATATATATATATATATATATATATATATATATATATAAAAAATAGTACAGTATATTTGATTTACTGTAAATTTAAACTTCCATAACTTTTTCATACTTTAATTTTTTTAAGTGTTCTCACTTCAGCAATAATCTGCTGAGTGTTTTCTTTAAAACAAGACCAAACTTGGGTATATATTCCAAAGCATTCTTGAATTACAACCATTTAAGTTTGAATAGTGCATTTTAACCCCCATTCTCAAAAAGGGGAGTGACAGCGAAGGGGTTAATAAGCTGTGCACCATTAGGCTGACTATACGAGTTCATACAGAATTTTGAGCTGGTGTGTTAAGAAAGAAAATGTATGTATATTCAGGGCATGTATCCTGCTCATCATCATGATCCTGTGCATGCGATTTCTTTATGGCATCATATTACCTTCATAGTAGACCTCCTGGGAAAACCAGGTGTCGGCTGGAAGAGGTGTTAGTGAGGGGGGCCAGTGTGGGGTGCTACTCACCCAGTGGTCTGTGTTGGTCCTAACGCCCCAGTATAGTGATGGGGACACTATACTGTCAAAAAGATCGGATGAGACGTTAAACCGAGGTCATGACTCTCTGTGGTCATTAAATGTCCTTTGGAAAAAGAGTAGGGGTGTAACCACGGCATCCTGGCCAAATTTGCCCATTGGCCTCTGTTCATTATGGCCTCCTAATTATCCCCACATAAACCGATTGGCTTCATCACTCTGTCTCCTCTCCACCAATAAGCTGGTGTGTGGTGGGCGTTCTGGTGCAATATGGCCTGGTTGCATCATCTAGGTACATTGGTGGTGGTTGAGGAGATTCCCCCTTCTATGTAAAGTGCTTTGAGTACCCAGAAAAGCACTTTATAAATGTAACAAATTATTATTACAGGGAGCCCTGTCAGCTGATATTATTATTATTATTATTAAATGTAAAAATTAACAACTCAAATTAATATTAGTTGCCTTAGAACTATTATTAATATTAGTTACCCTTAGGGATGCACGATAAATTGGCCACCATGTCCGTATTGGCCGACATATGTTCGTTTTTTTTATGTAATCTTCATCGGCCTGAAAATTATTTTTGGAAAAAAAATTTGTCCGATATATTTATTAAAGCCGATAAATAATGTAGTATTTACTTCAATTGAAATATGATTGGAATCACTTCAAAAATGGAAAACACAGACTTGCGATGCAAATGTTGCACTTAACTGTCATGTAGGCTATATAAAATTATTATGAGAACATTATAATTGTGTGCTTGGGACATGGCTTTTAATGGTGAGACTTTTGTCTTTGTATTTTATCGGTATCGGCCAAAAATGTCATATCGGTTTCCCCGGAGGTTTTTCCCTAGTTACCGTGTAAATCTGCTTTGTGTGCACAAATACTACGTTTCTCGCAGGTGGGGGTCAGCAGCTTATATACAGTGACCCAGCATGGTGTGGGGAAAATGTGATTGGTACAGACTGGTCCAATCAAGAGGTTGCAGGTCTTCATTGGTTTAATTAAAACCCATACCTTGTCAATACGCGTGTTCGACTTCATGCAGTGCTCTCACGATTCTTGATGTCATACACCAAACAGTATGTGCAGCACATTGACTTTTTTAATTTGGCATGAGATTTACTTGGGCAGCGTGAGACAGAGCCTGAAAGCGTGCGTCACGCCAAATATGTGAGAGTTGGCAACCCTGAGTTTAGCCAATGTTAGCTAACATTACCTATCCCGCTAGCTAGCTAGCCTGCAAAACTTCAAAACATCTCTGCTTGCTGGGTGGGTAGTATGAATTATTTTAAAAGTTCAAATTACAATTGCCTCTATAGAAATATGTGCAATTTCTTAGCAAGCTCATGGCTTATCTTTAAAAGTTTTGAATCGGATTTTAACATCCAAAACCTGATTGGTGCGGTCACATTTACCACTTTTGGTTGAATGCTCGGGGGCAAAATCCAGACATTTTAATAGAAATCCAGTTGGACATGCGGATTTGCCGCGTTCACCAGGAGAAAGTTGCTCGGTCTGAGTGACTTCTGCATGAGCTGAGATTCATACATCGCTACACTATTGATAGGCAATGTACCTTTTATTTGCTCACAAAATTTTCTAATGTGAATGTACGTGCCGTAATGTTTCGATCTGTTGCTATTAATTTGTTATTGTAGGAAATATCTTCTAATGTGTTGTAACTTTTTTTTTTTTTTTTCTGTAGGAGAATGTGATGGGCAGTGTGGAGATGCATTGGGATGGGAACTGGCTCCCACATCCAGAAGAGCAGCTCTTCCTGGATCAGCTATTTATCTTTATGGAGCGGAGGGGTTCCCCTATAAGCAAAGTTCCCAACCTGGGTTTCAAAAAGAGTATGTATGCATGACTGCTTTTACATGTGAAAAAAAATTGAGCACCAGTCACTCACTTGAATAATTTCTCTATAGTTTTTTTCCACCTTAACTTATTAATTAACCAAGCCGTTTTCCTATTTGCCCACAGTTGACCTTTTCCTCATGTATTCAGTTGTAAAAAGACTGGGGGGATATGAGAGGGTAAGTTTGTCATGTCGTTTCATTACTTGGCCCTGCTGAGTAAGCTGTAATCCATCATAACGGAATGAAAGCATTAGCGGTGAGCTCAGTAGTGTGAGTCAGAACCATTGTCCTCCCCATCGCCTGCAGGTGACATCGCACCGTTTGTGGAAGACCGTGTACAATGAGTTGGGTGGAAGCCCAGGCAGCACCAGCGCTGCCACCTGCACAAGGAGGCATTATGAAAGGTGAGCGAGAAGCTCTGATTACAGCAACAATTAATTCCTGCTGCTTCAGAGGGCTTTTCTCATCTAACTGAATGCCCATTTTCAATCAAATTCTAGGCTGATGCTCCCTTATGAACTGTATGTAAGGGGAGAAAACCCAGAACTTGGCAAGCCCAGAGCTACATCTTTCTCACCCACTACCATCAAAAAGACTGTACGGGGGAGAGGGGTGTCAAACAGCCCAAAAAAGAATGCAGTTACAAACCAGGTGAGGGTTTTATTTTCTATTGCACTAGAAAAGGGAAATGCTGACCCATTTTTGTTCGGTATATGCAAGATCTCTCAATAAGATGAGCTAAACATAATGTTTAGTCCATATTAGATCTGATTATGGTTTAAGAACCATGCTTTGTTCATACATGCCATTTGTCTGATATACATTATGCCACACTACTGTAGAAAAAAACGATTTAAATAATTGTGCAGCAACCTCAAACAAAGCTCCAAAAGGTTTAAAGTCACAAATTTTGGTAAATCCAAATTCTCAAAAACGCTTGCTGTTTCATCCCGGTACTTTGTAAGCTTTGTTTTCAGACAGACTAATAAAATGAGCATAACTAAGATTACCTTTCTTTGCCCTACTACTTTTTTAGGCCTCACCGCCAGATGGTGGTGGTGTTGTTGTTGTACGGAAAAGAGGAAGACCACCTGGAAAACGCAATGCTAAAGTTCTGGCCAGAGGCAGAGTTGGAAGACCGCCCTTGCATCCCAAACCTCCCTCAGAGCAACCAGAAAGACCCCATCAGGAAATCGTGCAGCCATTGACTATTTTTCAAGAACTGAAGCTCACCAACCATCCTCATGGCCAAGGTCTGTCCCTAGTACCCTCTAATATGGTGCTCCACCAACCCGTACTGGGGCGAGAGGTGAAGACGGAGACTGTAGAACCTCAAGCTCCCTCTTTTCTGTCGGTTCCTTGCAAGTTGCTGGCAGGTGGTTCCCTTGAAGGATTCAGTCCCACTAAAGGACTGTGTCCTTTGGACCTCTTTAGAGCCCGTCTCGGCCTCAATGGAGTGAGTGCTCATGAGGTAACTCCTCAAGATTCTTCTACGCCCCACCAGACAATTATGGTCCATCAGCCCAAAGTCAGTACACCCGAGACCCCTGAGAGTCTCCAGCACCAGTGTTCAGGGTGTAGTTTGGATGCCACGTCCCAAAACGGAGGACTGGCCATGACCAGAGCCCCCCTGCCCCCTCTTAGGATCCTTCCGCTTGACATCGGCTGTAGCCTACAGTTGCGTCAACTGATGCGCACCCGTCTTGGCTCGACACACATGAACACCTTCACCAAGAGACTTTCTGAAGTTCTGGCTCAGGATCTTGGCAAGACCTCCCAACCCAACGGGAGTGCACCTCAAGATCAATCCCTTCCACTGAACCTGAGCAAGAGAGCCATTACCAAGAGGTCTGCTGGAGACATGGAGTTCACCGAACTGCAAGGTCGGGATGTCCAGTCTATGACCAAGAGACCAAAGGTGGAAACTGAGGATCTCGGAGCATCTCTAAAGTGGAATGGCATGTCCTTTCTGGTGCCTTTGAACCAAGATGAGCCAGCTGATCTTAGCTCTCCTAGCAGGGCCAGAGCTTTGGTTCAGGACAGGACCAATGTGGCTTTGACTCTTCCTGAAGCCACTTGTTTCTCTTTAGTGCCCAAATTGGATGTCCCCCTTGAAAATCCCTACAGTATTGGTGCTTCCCCAGACTCTCTACCTTGTATTTATCACATGAATCAAGTGGAAGACAAGACCAGTGTAAGCACAGTGACAGTTAAGAACGAACCAGAGAGCGCATCTCTGGATTCAAATCTAGAACCTCAATCAAACAGTGACCTCTACTCGCAGTGTGTACCTACTGATGATATCAAAGAGTCGGATGCAGTTTCCTCTCTCAAAGTACTCTCTAGTTCCCTCCTTTCGAAGCCATCTAGCTGTTAGCATGCAGGCATGGGAGCGTTACTAACTCTTGCATACTTTATCACTCCTCTCTTCTCTGCCTTTCCCGCAAACACGTTTGTGTTGCGTATGATCAAAGAGACAGTTCTGCAGATGCATTGCTATCTGCTAATTACCTGCTTTTAAAACACTACTAAACTCTGAGCTGATGCAGGTGGCCATGGGTTTTTACCAAAGATAAGGTGCCTTGAACTTGATTATTCTATATTTTAGTACTTTTTAAGTTGAAACATATGCTGTAGATAGTGGATCATCAAGTGGCCAGCCAATAAAGGACATTTAATATGACTCATGGAGCATTTGATTTCTTTGAAAAAAATTAAGGTATTTAAGAAAAACATGGACACAGAATCTGGGTTTGGTTACTGTTGGATCCAGATTTCAAAAACCTTGGGACATCATTGCAGAAGATTTGGTCAGCTACTGTACTTTTTCCCTAGGCATAAATTGCTTTGTTTATAAATGGTCATTTGTTTTTATTTTATGATAAAGCAGTGTCATTTTGTGGGTGTAGGTCATACTCTCAGTTATTATTTATGTTTTACACCTTTATCTAGGTTCTTCTTTACTGTTTTTAGGCAGTGTGAATTTTTTTTCCCCCTCTTCTCTTTGTGTATTTGTTGAACCTTGCTATTTAAGAAATGGGCTCCATATGACCTCTGTGCTGGATCTTATCATATTTTCCCTAGCTACATGTTTTAGAAACAATGTACTGTATTGTGCAAATGGTATGCATATTTTGGGTCCCAATGCAAATGTTCTTTTTTTCTTTTTCTTTTATCATTTAAAAATGTATTTTAATAACAGTCATATATTGTAGTTAATTACTATTTGTGTTCCTGATAAACCATCGAATGGTTTACCATAGACATCATTGATATGTGTTTACAGAGAGACTGATGTAGAACTGCCTGTTGTGAGAAAATGGGTAACTTAATTTGCTTTTCACTCCTCCTAGACGGACCTCTTGATGCAATGTATTTCACAGGTTTACAGATGACAAATTATATTTAATAATTTTCACTCGGTTTGCTAATGATTAATTACTTGTGTAAAACACATTTGTATGATCATTCTTTATTATTCTGTTGGTTGTATTTTTCTTTCATTTAATTTCTGTACTTGAAAGGCAGCCAAACAGAACGCTAATCCCTATTTAATGTTCTATAAACTGTTGTAATACCACCAGGTTAAAAAATATATAATTTTTTTTTCTTATTTTGCATGCTATGCTAATGGAACATGGACTCTGTGGCAGATTGCCACCGCAGACATGTTTAAACACTGAATATTTATAATAAAAAATTATGTACTTGCATGCTGTTATTTTAATTGCTGAAAGATTCTTACACTTTAAAGAGATCACATAATTTATTATTTTACTGTAGTAACTATAGCTATTGTAAAATAAATTATTGTGATCTTTAAAGTGGCAGAAGCTTTGTCTATTTATTTATTTGACAGTGGGGGCTAAATAGATGGTCATTCATGTAAAAAAAAAAAAAAAATTAACGGGTGAAAACGAAGTGTGGGCTTATGTGTTCAGTGGATTGTAGCCTACTTTTGTTTAAAAACATTTCGATTGCTCAGCTGACAAAACATATTTCCAAAAAACTTCAAGTAGAGGTGTGAGCTTTGAAAAACGGATGTGATCTATTACATTTTATACAGCGCATGAAGACGGTAAATCTATCCCACACAGCCTTGTTTTCATTTCCGTAAAATTCAATATGGCTTCTTGCCTATTCACGGTCTACAGCGGGATTTATGGTAGTAACAAACTGCATTAACTACACAATGTATGATAATTTTTGTAAGGGGACTGCACTCTCAACTTTCTGTTGCAGCAGCCTGTGGCCACCAGGGGGCGATATAATCTCGTGTTTACCCAATAACCTCTTACCAATATTAAACTTCCAAACATAAAATTTAACACATTTTCAGGCCTAATCAACATTTCCTACAAAGTTGATTTGTCCATAGATTCCTATACCAGTCCCTAGAATCAAACTAGTCAAATTTGACTGTCAATCTAGAAAGTACTTCAGATAAGACAATAGCCTACTAGTGTTTCATGAGAGGATTTTTGTTGTAGGACTGAATCAATTGCATGGTTCCCCTCCCCTCTGCTTTATTTTTTTGGACATAACCCACAGGTCTTTCCGCTGGTCAGGCTCTTTGTTTTAACTTAAAAGGCTCTCCATGGGTCTCGCTTTCATATGTCTGGTATGTGGATTGTATTTTCACAGAGCTGCTGTGCTGGTTTAACCCTTTACCACCATCTAACATATTACTAACTCTTACTTTCAAATATTTGAAATCCAAACTAAACGGCGAACATGAAAGTATTTGGATGCACAAAGACGTGAGGGTAGTCTTTTCTTCCTTATTGTGACGTATATCAAGACTGAGTAAGCGGCTTCTCGAACAAGGAATAATAGGGTGAGATTTGATTTGTCCATGGGGAATTGATTGGATGGATGTGGTTTGTTATTACTGTGATCTTATGCGAGTGACAGGATGTACCGCCCTCGCGTCATGATACGTCATCAAAGAAGAAAAGAGATGTCCCTGCAAGTGAGAGGGAAGTTATTTTGATCGAAAATTACGATGGCACATGAATTTAAAAAGAACTTGCACGGATACAGTACTTGCAGGTTTATACTGCAGTCTGCAAGTACTTGTACTTGTAAGTGAACTTAACATCATACTATAGTTTAGTATTATTTTTGCACTTTAAGTATACTATGTTTTGCATTTTAAGTATACTATGCTTAATGGTTAAAGAGTCCAGACTAGTAACCCGAAGGTCGCGGGTTAGATACTCAACACCTGCAGGAAACCACTGAGATGCCCTTGAGCAAGACACCTAACCCCCAATCGCTCCCCAGGTGGCGCCACAGCAAAATTGCTGCCCACTGCTCCGGATGTGTGTCCACGGTTTGCAGTGTGTGTTCACTACTCCTGATGTGTGCACACTAACTTGGATGGTTTAAAATGCTGAGGACAAAGTTACCATACTTCGTCACTTAATTTTTATACTTGAAATATTCCTTTAAAGCGGACCTATTATGCCCCTTTTTACAAGATGTAATATAAGTCTCAGGTGTCCCCAGAGTGTGTCTGTGAAGTTTCAGTTAAAAATACCCTACAGATCATTTATTATACCATGTTGCAAATGACCATTTTTGAGTGGAAGGAAAAACATGCGCTGCGTCGCCTACATACTACGCCTTAAAAGTATGTACTCTTTTGGAAAGAAAAAGTACATACTTTTGAGTGTGTAGCAAAAAAGTAGGTAAGCTTTGGGACATACTACTTCGTCATCATACCGGACCGCTCTGTCGCTTACGTGCATCCTATCACAGTTTAAACTTTCCTGTCAGTCATCTTGTCTAAGTCAAAATCCTCCACATTCAATTTAATTTAATTTCCTACCGTTTCGGAGAGAAATGTATGGCACGTTGATCTGCCAGTCATGGGTCTTTCATGCAGAGACTCTGCTCATGTGTTTGCAATTTTAATATAATGATGCATGTTAAAGTTAATGGCCAAACGTATCATTACAAAAGGTCACAATGCTGCTGCAGATGAAATGTGGACAACATTGAATAAATACATTTTCGTCAGGTTAGATACTGATAATTAATCACTCAAACCCCTTTTTCCAAACCTCTCTACATAATCGCCGGACTTGTACATCCTCCATGTTTGTAGTTTTTTAACACTTTTTACTCGTGTTTGTAGTTCTAATCGAATCCTCATCCACAGCGTGATGGGTTGTGGGTAATACAGCCGTTAGAGTGCGCATCGATCTGCACTTCGGAGTCTGGCCGGAAATAGTAGACCATCCGGGTCTCTTTGTAACACTCATTTCAACACACTAGATTTGGTACTAATTCTATTTTCGAATACTATTTAGGACGGATAGTATGCGAATTGGGACGCATATAGATGCTGTTTTTGTGCATGTATCTTTAAATGCAAATGAGCTGCTACTTCCCACCCTACTTTCCAGAAGAGGGCGGAGCCTTTACAGCTCGTTCCTCAGATACTCTGCCAAAAACTAAAACATCTGTTTGGTTTTGATTATCATCTCTATCGCGGTCACGCTCACGTGACATTGCAGTTGTTCATCATCATGAAAGTTTATTATCTGCATGCGTTTTAAAGCCATATCAGTCTAAACTTCAGATATATGGTTTTCTGAGCGCACACATCCGAAGCTCGCGCACAGAAAGCTGGATGTCAGACGGCGTCCTGAGAATTAAACTAAGTTCTCTTTCACATCTTATTGCGCTTAAACTGTCGAAAACACACAAAGTTCACATAAACAGTTGGTTATGTCTGTGAACATAAACAGCAAGTAAAGAAATCGTTTGTGTATATTAGATCTGTGTATTAAAGTGACAGCAGCGTAATATACAGTACTTCTATGCTGTTAATATGAATCAAACAACAAAAGAAAAACTGAAATTCACTCACTGCTCTTGATTGAATAACCAGAGCTTTACATTTCTTACTCGAATGCTGCTGTTAAATGCTCTGTCGAGGAGATAAACATGGCTGACTGTGTACAGCTCACTGAGGGCGGGGTCTATGCTAATAGGGCAGAGTCGTGAGCAGTCGTGGGCGGGGCCTGTGTAATGTGACGCCACATTGCATGGAAACTGCAAACGGCTTGTTCTGAGACACTGCTTATGATTAATGGGGATTTAAAAAAGGAGTGTGGATTTTTACCATTATAGGGTGGTTGCGTACGCACACTGCCGACACACATTTATGTTGAAACGTCACGTAAAAATTAATTTAGCATATTAACTTTAACTGTACTTTAACTCTTTCCCTGCCAGCGTTTTTTTTGTTGTTGTTTTTTTTTAAGTTGCCAGCCAGCGGCAGCATTTTTGATCATTTTCACAAAACTTTTATGGCCCCACAGAATAGTTTGTTGTATGCATAAAAAGTAGACTGAAAGTATCCTTTTTTTAGTTTAAAAGGAGTATACTAATTGCACACTTGAATAAACTTTTTTGGAGAGTCCCCCACAAAGATCCTGAAACCTTGCATGTGTGCGTGTGCCCGCGTGTGTGTGTGCGTGTGCGCGTGCGTGTGTCTGTGTGTGTGTGTGTGTGCCTGTGTAGAGCGTGAATGAGTAAAGTGTTGTGGTGGTGACTGGAGTCCACTGTCAGCACTAATCAAATTTCCTAGAACCATGTTCCCATACTGTTCACATAATGTCATTTGATCACTCATCACTCATCTCGTGACACTGGATCATTTGACATGAA